TCAGATTGTGTTTTTAAAAAAGATCAGATTAAAATCTAAGACACAGACAGAGCAGTGCCTACAGTTAGCATCACAACCACAGGGAATGTTAATGACATCAGCTGCAAAGACTCAGTAATAAAATAATCTGTAAGAGCTCTGTCTGGTGTAATACTGCCCCCATGTGGAAATAAAGAGTCTTACATGCAAAGGCTGAATTCCAAGTGGTGGCCTTTTGTTTGAACATGATTGAAGATGAAAGACACAAATTACAGGTTTAATAATAAGAATAATAAAAAACAAAATTAAGAGACGAGAAAATACTTGAAAAACAGGTTTATTTGACAGTGCCCATTCACACTGTACCAACCCAAAGACCAAGAGATATATTTACACAAGTGAAGATTTACAGTAGAAACAACAGCAGAAAAAACAAAACAAAACAAAACAAAAAAACAGGAGAATTCAAACAAACCTAAAACTGTCGTGGTCTCAGCACACAGCTCAGACCAGTCATTTAGCAACGGTTCAAAGACGATTTTACACTCTCAGTGAAATTACAGTAAAAGCAACGAGAAAGACTCACTGATAATTAAATAAGAGGAGAAACTTAATCTTTTTTTCAGTGCAATCACCACATCCCATTTGACTTTGCTGGTTGAAATAAATAGGCCATAATACAAAGCAGCTTTTCATACAGGTTTGGTTCATGTAACTTCACAACATTTTTTAAACTGTCTATAGTTTAAATATCGACTTTTGTGAGCTTTAAATCATGTTATAATGTTGTTACTAGGGATGTAACGAAATCCAAATCTGTCCGTACGATATTTATTGCAATATTTTGGAGAGGCTAATATAATTGTAGATAGGACACGTTTCATGTTTGAAATAACTTGACAAGATTTTGGTGTGAATTATTTCCATCATAATCCCAAGAATTCAAGTAAAAAACATATTTCATCATGTTGTCTGCACTGAAATGAATCATGGGATATGTAGTTTTCTATGTTTATAAGGTGCTGCTACAATAAAATCATGCATTTAAGCAAAGGAACTTGTAATTCGATAAATTGTGAGACTTTTGACGATACGATATCATGATATTTCGGTTATTGTTACATCCCTAGTAGTTACCTCATCAAAACCATACCCAGCAACCAGTTTCATTCACATATGTTTGCGCAATCTTTTATTATTAGTCTGTCTACATCTCCAAAGCTCAAAACGCTCTGTTCCACCCCGTGATGTCATCAAGTTAACAGCTACCTTTTTCCTTTAGTTCAGTAGAAATCGGAAATTGTAGGGCTAAAATCATCAAAATAATGCTCGTGAAAGTGTATGGCGGGGGTGTCAAACTCAAATTCACAGAGGGGCAAAATTAAAAACTGGGACTAAGTCGTGGGCCAAACTAAATGTTTATCGAAAAATTTCAACATCTGCATGTTTTCTCTTCTTTCAAGATATGTAATGTTAAATTTATTCTTATGTTTAATAATAATTTTGCTCAAACATTGAATCCAGAACAAGCATAATATAAAATAATAACACAATTTAAAAAAAATAATGTTTCTATAGCCGATCTGTAGCCAGCGGGCAGCTCTAATACATATTTGATATGATCTCGTGGGCCAAATATAATTATATCACAAGCAAAATTTGGACCTCGTGCCTGAATTTTACATGTCTGGTGTATGGAGTTTAAAAACACAGTGGAGCACTTCCTGTATCACTACATGACATCACAAGGTGGAAGAGAGTGTTTTCAGTTTTGGAGAAGAACTCAGCGTAAATATGCAGGGTTTGTGTGGTAAATGTGTGAATGAAACAAAACACAACTTCAAGTTTGTTTGTAATGAGGAAACAACATTATAACATCGATTAGAAAATAGCATAATAACTGACAAAATGCAAATGTTTTGATCTGGTTTACAGTTATTTGTGTATTTATTAGACCTGTTGACTGATTTTTGGTTTTACTATAGAAAGGAAAGACATTTTCTAAAAGCAAATGTGTTATTTTTGTCATATGGGTTCAGCATTATGTGGATTTTGTTAAGCATTTCCTTTCAGAAACTGTGAATCAATCCTACTCTTACATTAGACCCCTGCCCTACTTTTGAAAACATGACATGGCTTTCTCAGTCCATGATAAATGAGCGTTTTATTGGCCAATTATCGGCTGCATAAATGAGGTAACAGTTTAACCTTTGTTTATATTAAAATTAGGCACTCATGATGCATTTCTAATTGCAATACACACGCCCCATTACCTCTCAATGTAGTTCGTCATCATTAAAAATCAGATACAAATATTAAGCCTCTTGTTGCAGAGATAAAAACCATAAACCAAACTGGATCCACTATAAACAATAAAACAAATAAATAGTTTTTACACAAAAGTTGAAGTAAGAGGTCGAATCACATCTTAACGCTCCTGAAAAGCAGAAGAGAAAAGTACTGTACAAAACACATATACACACTGATCCTAGTGAAATGAAGGGAATTCAAGGTGCTTATTTTTAGAACATTCACATTACTCGGACTAGATACAACTCGCTATCCAGTACAATAGTAGTAGTAGTAGTAGTAATAGTAGTAGGACTTATGTTTAATGACTGACGATGAGAAAACACTGAGAAAATAAAAAGTCTAGTAGTAGTAGCTGTAGTAGTACTCGTAGTAGTTGTTGTACTTATGTTTCAGTACTGAACATTAGAAAAGTCTTGGAATATTTGAAAATAAAAGGTGTAGGTGTAGTAGTAGTAGTAGCGGTAGTAATAGTTGTGGTAGTTGGAGTAATAGTAGTAGTAGTTGGAGTTGTGGTAGTCATTGTACTTATGTTTCATGACCGAAGATGAGAATAGACTTAGAATGCTTGAAAATAAAAGGTCTAGTAATAGTAGTAGTAATGGTTGTCGTAATTGGAGTAACAGTAGTAGTAGTAGTTGGAGTAGTATTAGTAGTAGTAGTAGTTGTTGGAGTTGTAGTTATTATATTATATTATATTGTACTTATGTTTCATGACTGAAGATGAGAATAGACTTAGTAGTTGTGGTAGTTGGAGTAATAGAAGTAATAGTTGTAGTAGTAGCAGTAGTAGTAGTAGTTGTTGTACTTATGTTTCTGTACCGAAGATGAGAATATTTGAAAATAAAAAGTCTAGTAGTAGTAGCAGTATTAATAGTTGTGATAGTTGCAGTAATAATAGGAGTAATAGTTGTTGATGCTGTTCTTATGTTTCATTACTGATCATTAGAAAAGTCTTAGAATATTTGAAAATAAAAGGTCTAGTAGTAGCAGTAATAGTAGTAGTAGTAATAGTACTTATGTATGTTGTCAGAACCAAAATCCTTAAAGTGAAAACACATAATAAGTCTGGAAAGCTGGACAGCAACTATTGCAGTGTATTAAGGTACACTGTGTAACTTTTCTGGTGAAGGGTCCACCTCCTGCTTGTCACCATGGAGATGCTTTTGCTTTGCCCGGTATGTTCCACACTACTGCTTTAAACTGTATTTATCTTGCATTCATCAACCACTGGTGTTTCCACTGCTCAAAAAACCTGGTCCTGTGACGTCACCTGCTGTCGTCTCCATGGACAGACATAGAGGTTTAATGCCGTACTGTGAGACATTCTAGGCAAAGACTTTCCATAGAAACAAACATGAAAGAACCTTCCCCAAAAAAGCTGCAAGTTGACAAGTGATTCAAGTAACACAAGCAGGTTTTGATTTTCAGAATTTACAGCCAGTGATCCTGTAACTTGCACATTTGAGATTTTGAGACTTTTACATACAGTTGGTATAAACATTAACATCAAGCCTGGACCAAAACTGTACAGCTGCATACTCCTGTAGAATACTGTGGAAAAATGCATTTCAGTGAAGAATTTTGAGTAGTATTAAGAGGTGATAATTTAGAAAAGATACCAAATTCATTAACTAGAGCAGTCTTTCCCAAAGTCTGCAGAGCTGCGCCCCCCTGTATCAATGCAAAGATCCCACAGGGCTCACCGACCGTATTTTTCAGACTATAAGTGGCACTTCTTTCATGGTTTGGGTGGTTCTGCGATTTATACTCTGATGTGACTTATATATTAAAATGTTCACACTGACAACCATAAAAGGGCACTCTAGACTTGTGTGTCAGTAACTGCTGCTCCTGTTGCCCTGTACCACAGTCACATCGTCCTCTACTGCACGTCTCCTGCAGAAACAGCTGCTGTCCTGCTTCAAGTAGTGAAATATGCAGCTAAAAACAATACTTGAGCAGCAGAAAGAAAATCTGGAGAGAGTGAAAAACTTGTAAGGGACTGGCAGAAAGTGGGGATGGAGAACACAGCTTCACAGTAACCGGGAGGGTGCACCATGCAACTTTCCTCGAAGTCATTGGATGGATTAAAAAAGCCTGGACTTCAGTAACAACAGAAACCATCCTGTCGGGATACAGAAAGGCCGGAATAATTCTAACTGGAACTGATGGTGAGTCTGATGACAGCTACACAGAAGAGGAAGTGGCGCTCTGTTTCCCTCCGGAGGTCGCGGAATTGCCATGGATCTATAATAATTTATTATAGTGCTATGGGAGTTGCTCAGAAGTGACACCGTGTATGAAGAATTCAATGGATTTAGTGATTTGGAGTGAGATGGAGAGTTTGGTAAACTTGTTCTGTTTTGTTGTTTATGCTCTAGTTGCCTGAATAACTGTTCATATGTGATGTTAACAGTCTATTGTTCTCTATTCTATTGTTTTTACTATAGCTTGACCTTCAAGATGAAATATTGGTTCCTGGTCTCTGATTTTATAAAATAAATTTCCTCCAAAAAGTGTGACTTATATGTTTTTTTTCTTCTTCATTTTGCATTTTTTGGCTGGTGCGACTTATAGTCCGAAAAATATGGTAAATGATTTTTCCACAGTATCCAGCATTATGCTCCAGTGCTGTACATCAAACGGCTTTCTCTGTCTGGCAGTATGAGCTGTAGTTTTAAGACCATAGAAGAAGACAGTTAACAGTTAATAGGTTGCGTTCATAGTTTAACATTGAACTGGAGGGCAGGTTGGAATTTCATGGTAGAATTTGCCTTTAAACTGTCAGATTGCAGATATTTTGACCTGGTTTTGGGTTAACAATTAAACAATATTAGATTTCTGTGGTTTGATCATTCTTGTTGTATTAAATAGACCCCTGTCCTCCATTTAAATCAAGACCAAACGCTGTGAACGCAAACTACTGCTCCCAGAGACAAAGTTAAAATACCAGACTAAAGACAGATTCACAGTTTTTGCCACTAAAAGCTTAAAATCACGTTAAAGTCAAGTTGAACTAGGAAGGAACTAGGAAGGATTGTTATTACGAGATGCTTTACACATAAGATGAGGATGAAGAAGGCCATTTCCTCTCAGTAGCTCAGACAACATCCAGTCAATGCATAGAAATTACACACATCCCAAGATTTCAGTAACTGTAGTTTTCAGTAAGAACTTTCTCTAGTCCCGTTATTATCGTAGATGAAGAAGAGCTGAGGTTGTTTATGATGATTGAATGACAAAGGGAAGGCCCAGTGTTTATAATCAGTCTGTTGTCAGTAGAGGCCCTCCTCCAGTGATCCTTTCGCTTCCCAAATCCTAACTGTGCGGTCACTGTAGGGAAAGAAAAGCACACCAAAGTTAAAAACAGCATTGCATTTGAGATGAGTTTTCCTCATACCACTCTCAACTGCATTCTCTTCACTCACAAAAGCCTCTATATTCTCTAATTATGTAACTTAAATAATCAATATTTTTTATTATTATATTATATTAGTTATATAAAGTGTAATGATTAATAAATTAATCAAAAACATATCAATAGACACAGCTCCAACTAGCATCATTGTCTCTGTCTCAGAATAGTAGATAATTTTACCCAGGTATTCACCATTTCATGGCCCACAACCATTTGACCCAATATTCTATATATTTTATAGTTTTTAATTGTTACACTATGGCAATGATCTGAAAACTATGAATATATCCACATATGTCCAAAGTTCAAAATCTGACTTCACCTGCAAACTGACATCATTCCTTATTGCATCTCCTCCATATTCATAAATGTAGTTAATACGATTAACTGAGATTCAGGAGCAGGACCACACCTCAGCCGCCCTCTCCTCTCACCAGCGAACCACAACTCACCTCGACCACGCCTCTAATTTCCCAGAAGCCTATATGTAGCAGCCTTTCCCATCATCCCAGTTTGTCTCGGCTAACTCGACCCCCCCCTCCCACCCCCTATTTTGTCTTTCAGTTATAAGACCCCTACAGGGGGGTCCCGTTCCGGCTGGGCCAATTGTAGATTGAGACGAAGCCCCCACCCATAGTCTCAACCCAGTCATCTTTGCCTCGCTTCGTACATTATCAATAAACTTCTTCGCACTATGTCGTTGTTGGCGTGGTCCTAGCTAGTAAAGTGTCTCTTAAGCAAGACCAGTGATTTTCAGTAGGTGAGGCCTGCCTCCCCCGAGAGACGCCAAAGAGCCACTGGGGAGGCGCAACACACGCGGACTAAACTCGGACTAAACCAGAGTTGAACCAGGACTGAGTGTCGGGACAGGCCTAGAGGTGCGCCTGTGTAAACTGTCAGGTGACCGCAGGAGAAAGGACCAGCATAGAGCTCCGCACCTCACGGGGTTAAGCGCAGCCATCACCCGATCACTCTTGTGGACACTCTGCTCTGTGGGATCAGGGTTCTCTGTCTCTCTCAAGTCCAAGATTAAACCAAGTCTAAATTAGGACTAAACCAGGACTAGTCCCAGTTTAGACCCGGTGTAGACCTGGTTTAGCACTGGTTTAGTCCTGGTGTCCTACTGATGTCCAGTGCTGTTAAAAGTAGCCTCAATTAGGTCTGCATGAAGTTGGACATTATTTGCTGTAATTTATGAAAAAAATAAAAATTTATAAAAAAATATGAAAATACAATATTAAAAAAATATATATTACCAGTTGTTATTGAAACTTATCATTGCTAGGAACATAAAAGATGCACCTCTCCTTTACTTTGGTGTGTACGTGTCACTTCTCCCAGTTTGAAAACCCGAGCTAGACCATATTTTACCTTTAAAAAGTATTGATCATTGTAACATATTCTCTACCTACCAAGGGTTCAACAATAACACAATGTACGACGTGTTGAGTGACTCACTCTGAGGCGGTGAACAGTTGGCTGCTGTTGGTGGCCAGTCCGTTGATGGGGCTGTCGTGCCCCTGGAGCTCACCGAGGGGCGCTAGTGAGTCAGCGTGCCACAGCCGCAGCAGCCCTCCTCTGCACCCGCTCAGCAGCACAGGGGCCCCAGGAACCAGACCCAGAGCACCAGCCCAGTCTGAAGGGCCAGAGGCAGACTGGAGACACAATAAACAAGATTATACATTTAACAAAACTGTGAATAAAACAGAATAGATGCTTACTTGACAGTTATTATAGATATAATTTAATTAATTTTTAAAACTAAGGTAGGAAAGGTACTTTAATTTCCCAGATTTTGACTGATCCTTCAATCCCACTGTAGCAACCAGTCAAACCAGTCTTGGTCAGGACGACCTTAGCTGAAGGATTTTAACTTTCGTTCACGTTTTGGGTTGATGGAGGAAATACACCCACACGAGGTGAAACACACAAACGTCTGGAGTGTATAAATTTTTTTTTTTGTTTATGCCCAGTAAACATGAACTGAGGCAGACATGTCAGACTCAGGCCCGGGGGCAAAATTTGGCCCACAATATAATTATATTTGGCCTGCAAAATCATATAAATTTTTTTTTAGTTTTTTTTTTTTAAATAAAATATTTAGTTTGGCCCACAACATAGTCCCAGCATTTAATTTTGGCCCTCTGTGAATTTGAGTTTGACACTCCTAAATTAAGGAGAAATATGTTCTATCCTCCCTGGGTGCCTCCAGTGTTCGAAGCATGAGAAAGTATAACATAATAACAAAAGGCATAAAATATTATAATTTTTTTTATAAGGGATTGGCTTCACAGATTTGCCATATCAATCAACATCTTTCAAATCAGAACAATTGTACTTGTGTTTGAATAATCCCACCACATTTATTATTACACAGTTAAACAGTCCTCAGTGAGCATGTCGTGAACACAGCTTGTTTGGGTTACGGGCTTTCTTGACACAGTGCTGTATTTACTATATTTGTATTTTCTCATAGTTCATGTATAATATTTTTCCTGACCTGCAGCAGTCGTTTGCGGCTGATGTCCCACTTGTGGATGGAGTGATCTCTGGAGCTGCTGTAGAACACGTCTCCGCTCACGGTCAAAGCCTCCACAGAGTCCTGGTGAGAAGGTTCAAATGTGTGTCCAGAGGTGAGGCTGCCCTGCGCCCCCTCCGCCACCTCGAACATCTGTGACACACAAAATAAAGTTCATGGGCACAAGTAGAAAATCAGAGACACTGCAGTTATTTGGAGCATTTTTTCATTAGTTTGTTGAAGTCTCTTTCACAACCAATAAATGTGTTTACTGTAATAGTATAATTTAACAACTTTTTTCAGTGGTGGCTGCTTTTGTGGTTACCTGGTTCACACACTGAGAAGTATGAATTTATTGATTTTTTTTTTAGTTCAGTTGTTATATCATATCATAGGATTTTAACCAACTAAGAAGTACAGCATGTGCAGTTCAAATAACACAAGTAAAGGAGTGCTGGATTTTGTGAAATGAGCTGTTTGTTTTTCTTGTATCGACGGTTCTAGCTATGGACATTTGAGATGCTGCAGTGCAAATGCTGATGCAATAAAACGTGAATTTCCTTCAGGGTCAACGAAGTATCTCTCTCTTGTGAAGACAGGTCATGCACTGGCCTTCGCTAATTAAAATCTAAAATTAGATGTGTACCCAAAACGCAACTGCTAGGTCAGTGTTTCCCAAACTTTTTTTTCTGGGGACCCATATTTTAAAAGTCACAAACCTTCGCGACCCAAGTCAATAGACATTATCACAAAATAAATATGGATTTGACCATTATTGAACATTAATGAGGATATTTATTCTGGCTGAGGGATCGTGTCTTTCCAAACAATTAGTATTACCGTATTTTCCGCACTATAAGACGCACTTAAAAGCCTTTAATTTCATCAAAAAAACAACTGCGCGCCTTATATATGAATTTATTCGGGTGTCTTAGTACGACTTTAGTAAACTACAAAGCCGCACCACTTGCAGCATTACGACTACTGTAGTCAGGAGCATCGCGGAGTAATACATACTGTGATTTCTTTTAACATCAAAATGGAGCTGTCACGAGACACACTTACAACGCCGACTTTAAACTCAAGGCTGTTATAAAGTTAAACTGTGAGGTGTGTGGGAGCAGTGGATGAGAGAAGGTGAACACACATTCACCAAGACAGGGAGACGGTGCAGAGCGACTTACGCCACGATCTGCCAATGGATCGTGGACGCCCGGGCTAAGGATCAGTATCAGCTGTGGTCTGAGCTTTCACCAAGACCGGAATCATCACTGAACTGCCAGGGAACAGTAACCACACTGACTCGGATAATGACAAGAGGGATGCGGGCGTGCTGGACGCTGTAATCACCCAACTGTTTGAACAATTATGAGTTATTGTGAATACGCGAACAATTTAGCATCTCAGACAGTATTTTTTACACATTACAATTGAACAAAGTTGAGAGTTGTTGTGAACGCATTAAATAAAGCTTGACTGACTTATCTAACTGTTGTGTTTAGTTTAATGCGTCTTATAGTTCGGTGCACTTTATATGTGAAAAAAGTTCGAAAATAGACCATTCAATGCCTTATAATCCAGAGTGCCCTATAGTGTGGAAAATACCGTACTCAAGTTTTAAACAATGAAATACGATAATTGAATGAACCAGCAATAAAGAGGATCCACACATATCCTGAAGTGCACTGACCTTTGCTGGTTTATCACCCTTCTTTTTGTACAACCAAGCATGTATTTCTCAACTTTAGCTGCAGATATACACGTGTTCAGATTCACTCACTCTCTCATTTGTCAGAACTGTATATTGTAGACCTACATGACTAAGAGTAATGCCATTTCTGTATTCTGTATTTACTAAGAAACTCTTCCTTACCTTAATATGATGATCCTTGGAGCCAGTGAGCACAATGTCCTGTCCATTTCCCAATTTGTCCACAGTCAGACACATGACCGGCCCCAAATGTCCAGTGAGCTTCCCCGTCGATGCAAATCTAGTAATTACACAGATCCACAAATTAGTTCTTTAGTTCCATTGAGTTTTAAAATTTTTATAAAGAGGGCTCACTTTCGGAGGTCCCACATGCGGACAGCGTTGGCGGCCGCGGCGTACAGGAAGTTGCCAGCTGGGTTCAGGGAGATTTGGTTGATTTGACTCTCTCCAGGAGGAATGGACAAACTCCGGACAGACGCACAGCTGTCTCCAGAACTCACCTGCCCCGAAGACCTGAATCACACAGAGACATTAACGTAGTATTTGGAGGAACTTGGGATCGATAATTGAACGATGGACGGAAAGACGAATAGTTTCAGGTTTCAGAATTATGAAAAACAGGTCAGCTACCATTGTGACTATTTAAAACAAACTATATTATGTTTTGTTTTGTGTTATGTTTATGCAAAATGTTACCTATAACATAAAGTTGAAACCCATGCATACACAGAAAAACGGAAAGCTACACAAGTAAAGAAACGGCGTAACTTTTCGAGAGGAAGGTAATGCCATCTGCTTGTCTATCTCCATAAAAAAAAGAAAGCAGGTAGCATAACCAGGCAAAGTGACGGGTCAGATCTGTGGAGAGATGAACCTTGCCATTTCATGTAATAAAAACAATGAAATTAAATAAATGTCAGGCAGATCAATTTAAAGTTATAAGCATTGTCATCATCATAATCTCTTTGACGATAATCAGGTGGCATACCCTCCATCAGAAAAGTTACACAGTGCGCCTTTTTAATGACAGAAGTACTATAAATGTTGATTGAAATTGTGCAGAACTATCAAAAACTGAAACTTGTGTACTCACGTGAGGGTGCGAATACACTTGGCTGAGTCTCTGATGTCCCAAACTTTAATGTAGGCAGTGGACACAGTGAAGACCAGGCTGGACATGTATCTGGATTTAAAACAGGTTAAAATTATGAATTATAAATATTTATCTGTATATTAGATAACACTATGATATTTTTATTTGATTAAAAAATAAGTTTGTATTTATATTATTTACTTACTTGACAGAAACCACACTGCTGGGATGATCAGCCAAAGACATAATCTCTTGTCCCGTCACCAGGTTCCACACTTTACACGTTCGGTCTGGAAAAAACATGTCCATATCATCATCAACTTATCTGCTTTTACACCAGATGCCCTTCCTATAACAAACCAGCAACATTCTGCAATTGAAGTTAGAAATCAGAGCAAAAAAGTGTCTTGACAAGTAGATTTGGGCCATTAGCTCTGCAGCACACAACAGCAGATTTGTGTGAAGGCGGTTTGAGGAGACGAAGAGCCAAAAGTGTCCCTCCTCCGTGTCCTGCAGCATCTCAGCAGCCTCCAGGGGGCGCCAGGTGAACACAACAGGAAAGGCCTCACTCTTACTCTGCTCTGATGTTTAGGTTGGTGATTAAATGGTCCATTTCATCAAAGTATTTCAATGTGTTTTGCCATATTTGCTGCCACATATGGTATAAAACGCCTGTACCATCTCAAACCTCTTGCACAGTCTCCATGGATACGGGGAAAAAAAAGTAGTTCATTTCACAAAATCCAACAGTCCCTTACTTGTGTCCTTTGAACTGCACATTCTGCACTTCTTATTGGGTTAAAATCCCATGATATGATGTTAAAACTGACTGAAGCTGTTCTTGTTATTTGAATCTCAATATATTATAATGGTATATTTCTATCAAACATTTCATAAATAAGAAGGATTAAAGTCCTGAGTACAGAAAACTACAGTCTCCAATCAGATCTGAATACTAATAATGAAAGAAATAAGAAGAGAGGACTGGAAGCAAAAGTTAAAACTATCTAACTAACTTCAATAACCCAAAACAAGTAAGAGCAAATATTATGCAAGCCATCATTCAGAATCCTTAAGATTTATTGTCAATTATATAGTTATTGCACTCTCTTTTATATTGTTAACACATTTTTTGCTTTGCTGGACACAACTGTAACGTTTTAGGCGAGGTTTGACCACGCTCCGGGCCGAAGCTAACAATTAAAAAGCGTTTTTTTTTAAGACAACTGAATGATTTTGAGCTGGGAAGTTGAAAATTTGTAAAAACTGAGACAAATTACAGCCTTTTTGAAAGCCAGGTCATGACCAGAGTGTGATTACATTGCGCTCTGTCATAAAGTGCTTTCTGGGCTGAAGGGATTTTTTTTTTGCTGCAGAACCAATGAATGGCCACTAATCCATCATTAGGCAGGTTGAAGACAGCAATACCCTATCCACCCAATTCTCTATAGTTATTTTAATAGATCCAGTTTGCCAGTTTCAACTCCAAATGTGCATTATACTGCCCTCTTCTGGTTGGACTGAGTATTTATCATGACAGTTTTACATTGTTTACCTTTCGATCCGGTGAAGAGCAGGTCGTCAGTGGCGTCCACACACAGCACGGGTTTGGTGTGTCCCTCTGCCACATAAACACACTGCAGTTTGGCCCCTCGGTTATTCTTCTGAGTTGTGAACGGGTTAATCACACCTCTGTAAAACAAATGGACAATCAATATTGCTTTTCAAAACTGCACTCGTAAGCATGGAGTCTTAGTGTTTAATCAGGGGTTTCAGTAACATTTGTCTGTTTTTTTTTTCCTGTTATAGCCATTTTGAGGACTTCTGATCATTCAGAAGAGAAATGTTCGAACCCATAGGTATAGGAACTGAATCATAAATGGTTAATGTAATGTCCAAAGAAAACAAAACAGCAAAAGTGAATTATGTAAATGTTTACAAATTCATTATATTCCTGTTGGTTTAATCTCAAAGTTGTTGTTGTTTTTTTTGTCTGGGCCTGGTTTGTACTAATCTTGGAAGCCAGCTGCTCAATCCATGTATCATTCGTTCATTTGTTTTTCAAAATAAATCCAAAAGCAAGAAAATGAAGGAAAAAAAACAACAATTTTCTTCATTATTTGTCTCCAAAACCAAAATGAAAAAACAGATAACGAGTAGTTTTTTCAGTTTTCGATTTGGCGTTTAAATGAATTACAGAAAAAATGGATAACGGCCGTTTCCCATTTCTGTGACTTAAACTGTGATCCCGGACTAAACCAGGACTGAACCAGGAGTGTCGAGACGTGCCCGAAGGTGCACCCGCGTACACTGATCAATACGGAGACCAGGGCCAGACCGAAAATGAGACTGAGACCAGGACCGAGACCAGGACCGAGAACAGGACCGAGAACAGGACGAGACAGGACCGAGACAGGACGAGACCAGGACCGAGAACAGGACCGAGAACAGGACCGAGAACAGGACCAAGACCAGGACCAGAACAGGACCAGGACTAGGACTGAACCTGGACGAAACCAGTTTTAAACCAAAACTGAACCAGGACTAAACCAAGTCCTGGTCTCAGTCCCGACCTCAGTCCCGGCCTCAGTCCCGGCCTCAGTCCCGGCCTCAGTCCCGGCCTCAGTCCCGGCCTCAGTCCCGGCCTCAGAATCAGTCCTAGTTCAGTCCGTATGCAGAGCAAAAATCCGGCATCGCAGTTTAAGTCACGTAAAAGGGAAAAGGACGTTATCCGTTTTTTCCATTATTCATTTAAACACAAAATCGAAAACTGAAAAAAAAATCAATCGTTATCCGTTTTTTCATTTTGGTTTTGGAGACAAATAATGAAGAAAATAGAAAAGTTTTTTTCATTTTCTTATTTTTGGTTTTATTTTGAAAAACGATTTAAGAAAAGATACACAGATTCTACTCCTACTGCCTTTTCAAATAATGTATGTATTATTATGAAAAAGGAGCATTCTTGTTTGGCCAGACTCGTTAACTACACAACCAATTTTCACTCATAAATAACTGGGGCTTAGAGTTTTACTTCAGTTTAACTCACTTTCAACTCTGCCTGAACACTAATCACTATATACACCAATCAAAATATGACAGAAATATTTTGTACCTGTGTCCTTCAAATACAGGAGACTCATCCAACCTGAAAAGTAATAATGCAAAGTCACACCCAAGTGAAGAGCACCTTTTCTGAACATCTAAACATGTATCTGTTTGACACTCACAGTGCTCTGTAGTCACTGCCTTTAGCTTTGCTCTCTGCGTTGTTGTTAGACACAGGTTGAGTCACAGACAGAGGAGTTATCGTCACTTTCTCCTGGATCCTTCTGCGATTCATCGGTGATCGCTCCACTGGCCTTTTCTCCGTCCCTGTGGGAGACCTGCATCCTCCTCTGAGCAAAGAAATTAACAAAGAGTTTAAATTCAAGAGGTGCTAAAACATGATCAGCACAATAAATGTATTAAAGTACTGGTACATTAAAATCCATAGTATGTTTCTTTTCATGAATGTACTAATAGGCCTACTATAAAATAAATACAACTGTCACAACACTTTGAAACCTATATTGTGTATCTTTCTAGTCCAAAAGTTTGTCTTATTTTTAAAGAATTTCAAGATCTGTAATTTAATTTGAGAAACATTTCCCTTGTGGTTTAATTAAGTTGATTTTAAGATGTGTTCAGACTAAGTTCCTAAGTTTGTGGTCCTAATTTCAGCCCAGTTTGAGTCCAAATATAGTCCAGGTGTCCAAATCTAGTCCAGGTGTAGCCAAGGTCTAGTCCAGGTGTCCAAATCTAGTCCAGGTGTAGCCAAGGTCTAGTCCAGGTGTAGTCCAGGTCTAGCCCAGGTCTAGTCAGAGATCTACTCCAGTTTAGTCCCAATTTTGATGTTTTCTATGTAGTATGGGAATGAACCATAACTTTAACTTCAGTCAGTCTGGTTTGGTGCTGGTTTGGTGTTGGATTGGTACTCACATGCTCGCAGCCCTGTTTGTCGCTCCAGATGGAGGTAGAGTCTGTTCTCTGTCGGCGGTGTGACCCGTCATGTGACCCGGGGCGTCCCCAGGCCCCTCTGGGCGCTCGGTCAGAGGCAGCAGTGGAGAGGGGAAGTCTCCTGTGGGCGACTCACCAAATCCGTCCCCTGAGCTGCTGGCATAGAGCAGCTCCATCTGTGTGGTGGTCCGCCGACGAGCCTGACACAAGAGACCAGGTCAGTCAACTAATAACATTCAATTATAATAAAATACATTTGTAAACATATAATTAAAAATACACACTGTTGCGCAAGTTACTTAAAAACTGTAATGCATTATTTATTACTCGTTACTGTCATGTCAAAGTAATTTGTTAGATTACTGCATTTAAAATGTAAGACATTACACAACTATTGCAGCACTTTAAGTTACTCTTACCAAAATAACTGTGTGAAGATGCCAAACTTTTGTGCCCTATATGGACTGAACCAAGACTAAACCAGGTCTAAACTAGGACTTGGAATCTAGGACCGCCCCTGAGAGAGCCTCAAGCCCGTGGAGCAGGGTGTCCACAAAGCATAATTGGGCGTTAGCTGCTATTAGCCCCATGGAGCATGGAGCTCTGTGCTGGTCCTTTCGCTCGTGGTTATCTGACGGTCTACATGGGCTCACCTCCAGGCTCATCCCCACATTCGGAACAGTAAAGATGGCGTTTCACCGCTGCTGATATCGCAGTGATTTTAGCAAATTTGTTTGAAGAAAAACGAAAAACACACCACTTCAGTCCAGGTTAAAAATGCATTGTAACGCGTGTTACTCACATTTGTACGCAGTAAAATATAAAAATTTCTCCCTGTAATGCCGAACATTACTGCGTTACAGCAAAAAGCAATGCAGTATAGTAATTAATTTTACTTTTTAACGCATTACTCCCAACACTAAAAATACATACATTCTATTACTTTGCATGTCTTACCTTATTTCTTGGCTTAGATTCACCACACAACTTCATTAAATCTGAGGCAAGTGTGCTAAAAGAAAAACAAAAAATGTCGTTATGTAGTAGTTAATAGTTAGTCATCATTTTAGGCTATTTTTGTTTAACCAGGAAAAGAATCTCATTTTCAGAGGATTCTCCACACAGAGAGCCCCAGGAGTCAAACCGAGGACCTTGTCACTGTGAGGCTGAAGCACTAACCACTCCGCCACCATAAAGTTAATCTGTGAACTGAGTGGGCCTTTCCATGAATTAAATATGAACTATTGTCCAGGTCCAAGCCAGTGACAGCCTCTGATTTACAGTCTTTCCCTCACACGAACGTCATTTAAGGGTTTATAGCATTCAGAGTAGTACAAATGTAAACTTTTCACCTTTAAATTGTATTATAAGTGGTACTGTAAGTGTATGTTGTAGTTTTTGTACTTACTTTCCTTCAGTGGCTGGACTTGGAGTGGACTCATCACTGCTGCTCTCGTCTCCATTTTCTGCACCAGAGGAAAAAGCATTAGCCCTCACAGTACCAATGACTCAATATGTCTTCACCTAAAACATCAAGCATAAACTAGATTTTTTTATGATAACAAATGCATTATATAAGAGTAAGGTTTAGTCTGAGGAGTGGGCAGCAACCAGGGATTACCAGTTAAAGATGCTGAAGCTATGGAGTCACGTTTGCTCTAATAATGAACGGTTGGAGCTAATCCACATACAGAGGAGGAACATGGGGCTGCAACAACTCAAATTAAATATTATGCAGAAAATATATACATAATGTTGTTGTTTATAGCAGCAGTGATTAATATGCTTCCTGTCTCCTGAAATCACGTGAATAAAATAAAACCTTTTTAGACAAATCGTACATTTATTTAAAGACTAACTACGTAACTTTTATGGAGGAAGGTTCAACAGCCAATTTGTCTCCTTGGATGTTACTGATTTGTCTGCAATGTTCCACAGAATGGCCTTTGTGTTGGAAATTTATATTGTGGAAAGATTTCCTTCAATCTGTCTTTGTGTGAATCAATGTGATTTCTACCTGAGACCAGACCCCCACAGGAAAATATTGATTATGACTGATGAAATTAAAATAGTGAATTAGTTTATCTTTTAGAAACACATTTGGTCTTGTAACTAAAACTCATTTGGTTTGGTAGTTGAAGTCAGAGTTAGAAAGTAAACACTTGTGTTCCGTTTTGCTTGCTCATCTTGTCAGGAAGTGACAAATATCAATGCATATCAGATCAAGCACATCTGGCCACACCTCAGTAGGAGTCATGGTCTGGTCATCTCAGCCTCTATAAACTTGGTGCTTTGTAACATTTGGGGCTAATGTGGTAAGGACATGCTGCTGGAGAGGAGAGGCTGTTACAAGAATAAACTTTTGTCTGTATTCCAAATACTCATCGGGCTTCGCAAATGGATTAATTATTTGTCATCAAGAGTTACATAATAGTTTCTACGACAGCCTTACACTTATCTAGCCTGCATTTTTAAACAAGGTTTTTATGCCAGAAAACCATGGAATTACCTCTCCACAAATCTGACCTGTAATATTTCCTGCGTGTTTCCGCAGAGCTAGATAAAGCCATACTGTGGAATATTTCAGGAGCAATAATATCTACCGTATTTTGGACTATAAGTTGCACTTTTTGGTTTGGGTGTTTCCTGCGACTTATACTGTGGTGCGACTTTAAAATTTTCACACTGACAGTCGTGAGAGGTTCTAGTCTTGTGTGTCAGTAACTGTTGCTCCTGTTATTTATGTACCACTGTCACTTCACCCTTTACTGCGCATGTCTCCTGCAGAAAGAGCCACGGTCCTGCTGCAAGTAGTGAAATATGCAGCCAAAAATCGTAACTGAGCAGCAGAAAGAAAGTTTGGAGTGAGCGAGAAATTTGTGAGGGACTGATGAAAGGTGGGGATGCAGAACACAGCTTTACGGTAACTGGGAGGGTGCAACATGGAACTTTCCTGGAAGTCACTGGATGGATCGACAAAGTCCGGACTTCAGTGACAACAGAAACCATCCTGTCGGGATTCAGAAAGGTCGGAATAATTCTGACTGGAACAATCCGTGTATCATTCGTTCATTCGTTTTTCAATATAAAACCAAAAATAAGAAAACAAAAAAACAACAGTTTTCTTCATTATTTGTCTCCAAAACCAAAATGAAAAAACGGATAACGATTCGTTTTTTCAGTTTTCGATTTTGTGTTTAAATGAAGAATGGAAAAAACGGATAACGATCGTTTCCCGTTTACATGACTTCAGTGACTGCGATGCCGGACCGCATACGGACTGAATCAGGACGGATCCAGGTCCGAGACCAGAGCGGGACTGAGACCGGGACCAGACCAGGACCAGAGCGGGACTGAGACCGGGACCAGGGCGGACTCTGAGCTTTGACTCCAAGCCTCCACGGGGTCCGAGCCTCAGCTTCGAGCTCCGGTCCTGCCGTGGGCTCTGAGCCTCCGGTCTGGTCCTGGTCTGGTCCTGGTCTTGTCTCGGTCTCGGTCTCAGGCCCGCTCTGGTCCCGGTCTGGTCCCAGTCTCACCGCATACGGACTGAATCAGGACGGATCCAGGTCCGAGACCAGACCGAGACCAGAGCAGGACTGAGACCGGGACAGAGCTGCTCCGGTCCTCCGCGCTCAAGAACCGCGGTTGGTTCCGAGGTGCAAAGCCTCCGACTGACGCTTTCACACCAATGAAAATGAATCGAACTAAGAGCTTTTGGTTCAAATGGACCAGGTCCGGGACTAGACCGGGACCAGAGCGCCGGGGCCGGAGCTCGGGTCTCGGTCTGGTCTCGGACCTGGATCAGTCCCGGTTCAGTCCGTATGCGGTGCAAAAGTCCGGCATCGCAGTCACGGAAGTCACGTAAACGGGAAACGGCCGTTATCCGTTTTTTCCATTCTTCATTTAAACACAAAATCGAAAACTGAAAAAACGAATCATTATCCGTTTTTTAATTTTGGTTTTGGAGACAAATAACGAAGAAAACTGTTGTTTTTTGTTTTCTTATTTTTGGTTTTATATTGAAAAACGAATGAACGAATGATACACGGATTTGGAACTGATGCTGAGTCTGACAACAGCTATGCAGAGGAGGAAGTGGTGCTCTGTTTACCTCCAGAGGTCGCAATGTTGCTTAGAAATGACACCAAGGATGAAGAATTCAATGGATTTAGTGATTTGGAGTGAGATGGAGAGTTTGGTAAACTTGTTATGTTATGTTATTTATGCTCTAGTTATCCGAATAACTGTTCATATTAACAGCTTGTTGTTCTCTGTTCTATTGTTATTACAATAACTTGCCTTCCAAGATGAAATGTTGGTTCCTAGTCTCTGATTTTATAAAATAAATTTCCCCCAAAAAGTGTGACTTATAGTCCAGTGCCACTTATATATGCTTTTTTCTTCTTCATTACAGATTTTTTGGCTGGTACGACTTATAGTCCAAAAAAATATGGTACATGGAAACAAGCCAGTAGCCGACCACCGACCAGAAAAGTTACAGAGTCCACCTTTGATATGGTTTTGATATCAAGTGATATTCATAATGTTGTAGCCCAAAAGAACATTGTACACAAAACCTGTTTAATTGTTATATTTAGTAACACATTAACATCATGGGTGGGGTAACTAACATGGGAGACACAGACTTCATGCAAGCAATGGCCTTTGTTACTAGAGCTTCATTAGTTTTTAAAGACCGTGGCAGATGCACTCTACAACATTAAAGACAACGGGATATTTCACTGTAGTGTGCATCGTCCACTTCTGTACAGCTTTATACTCACCGGGTAAAATGAAACCTAACTCTGAATTCACAACAACAGAAAAAAACAGAAACCAAAAGTCAAACTCCCAATGAGAAAGCCGTCACGGTTATTTCACAGGCTTCGTATTGTCATCTCATTAATAATAATTTTAGAACAAGTATGAATGATTTGATACTGTGAGCCTGTAAAATAAATGTGACCATATTGTGAATGAACAGCAGTTTAAAACGGCGGTTGTGTTCATGCTCTCCAAGGCTGCGTTCACACACATACTGGATTAAAGGAACAGTACGTAACTTTAATTTTAAATTCCATAAACACAATCTAATTTCTGTATGTCCCTAGGTAATAAAGTTGGCATGTTCAAATCAAAAACAGCTCTTACTGATGACAACATTAGTGCTGATTTATTCTTAATTACTAAAACATTAAATGCTGTGGTCAAACTGTTTGTTATAACTTTGTGTTTTGGTTGTCAAGGCGATAATCAAATCAGAATAAACAACATCAAGTCCAAAGCTTTTGTAATTAAGAATAAATCAGCATTACAGTTGTTATCAGTAAGTGCTATATTTCATTTGAACATGTTTACTTTGTATGAGCTGGGAACACAGTTAGATCATGTTTATGGAATTTGAAATCAAAATCTTGCCTGACTGACAAATGACTTGTTTCAGTCTTGTTCTAGTCCTGGTTTAGTCCTGGTTTAGCTCCAGATCAAAGGGCCCATGTTATGAGATTTTCAGATCTATGTTATGATGTTGTTTTGTTTCATTCACGCACATTTAACACACAAATCTTTACACCTTCACTAGAATCATTTGGATTATTTCAGCCCTGGAATTGCCAATTTCTACTGAATTAAAGGCAGTGTTGGGAGCAACGTGTTATAAAAGTAACAAATTACTGTAATCCATTGCTTTTTGCTGTAACGCAGTAATGTGGCATTACAGGAAAAAAAAAAAGGTAATATTTTACTCGGTACAAATGTCAATAACGCACGTCGCATTTTTAACCTGGACGGAAGTGGTGGGTTTTTTGTTTTTCTTCATACAAATTCGGTAAAATCACCATGATATCAGCAGCGGTGAAACGTCATCGTTACGGTTCCAAATGTCAGGACGGGTCCGGAGGTGCGCCCGCATAGACCGTTGTGTGACCGCGGGCGAAAGGACCAGTACAGAGCTCCGACAGGTCCTAGATTCCAAGCCCTAGTCCAAGATTAGTCCTGGTTTGGTCCTGGTTTAGACATGGTTTAGACCTGGTTCGGCTCTGGTTTAGTCCCGGTTTAGACCCGGTTTAGTCCTGGTTCAGTCCAGGTTCAGTCCTCCTGGTTCAGTCCTCGGTTCAGTCCTGGTTTAGACCTGTGTTAGTCCTGGTTCAGTCCTGGTTCAGCTCTGGTTTAGTCCTGGTTCAGTCCATACACTGCGCAAAAGTTTGGCATCTTCACTCGCTGATTGTTATTTAACGATCAGTGACAGTTATTTTGGTGAGAGTAACTTAAACTGCTGCAATATTCGTGTAATGTCTTACATTTTAAATGCAGCAATATTGTAATGTAAGAAATTACTTTGAAATGACAGAAACACGTAATAAAATAACACATTACAGCCTTGAAGTAACTTGCCCACCAGTGATTAAAAGTAATAAGTCGTCATTAACTTGAACACTACCACTTGAACAGAGCTTTGTAAATGGACACGGACTAATAATAAAGGATTACTCAAACGTGTGAATGAAACAAAACACAACTCCGGGTTTTTGATGAGGTAACAGCATTCTAACATGGTGTAAAGCTCACAAAGTCAATTCTGTGTGATATAGGCGTCCCAGCGTTGCTATAGTGTGTGTACATGTGTGAAGACAGCCTTAGTCTCGAGTATTACACACATTATAGTTGCATTTGTACCTTGTAGCGCGCTCCCGAGCAGTGCGTCCAGCTCCGGGTTGATCTCCGCTTTCTCCTTTAACATGTGGAACAACAGCTGGTTCTGAGTGGCACTGTTTATCTCCGTCTGCTTCAGTCGTCCCTCCATCACTTTGAGCTGGGACTCCTTCTGAGCTGCCTGGAGGCCCTGATAGTTATAAAACATACAAGTGAATCTCATGCTCAGGATGTAGACAGACTAATAATAAAGAGTTACTCAAACATGTGAAACAAAACACAACTCCGTGTATGTTTTTGAGGAGGTAAAACCATTATAACATGACTTAAAGCTCTTACGTTCAAGACATAATTAGCCCAAATAAGTTAATTTCTTATAATTTATTTAAGTGTGAGTTCCTATTTGAAAACAATGGGGTAATTCTACATGACTTGAATTGCAGTTTAGTGACACTGAATTTGACGTTATATTATTTGAGTTAGAAGCTAGATTCACACCATTCAACGGAATATAATGTACATGGAGTGAAAATATTAATTTAAGTTTGTCTCTTGTCTAAGTCCCGGTAACTTCTCAGTTCTTTACAGGTTAAGTGAAATGAATGTGAATTAATCAATGTTGACCGTGCCTTTATTACAGTAACAGTCTCAACATTCAAACAGTATATATATGATATTGCCAATTGTTTAAAAAAAAAAAAAAAGCCTCAGACTAAGTCAAATAAATATGTGTAAATACAAAGTAAGAAGAAACTGAGGCACTTAAAAAGTACAAAATAATTAAAAGCCTTTAATACCACATGGCAGATAAAGTTAAAATCACGCCAACGCTTCGGCCCTTCAGCCTTCATTAGGGCACTGCTCCCTACACTGAAGAGCACCAAAAGGACAATTTTGCACAATTTTTGTAGATCCAAGTAGCACTCCTGCCCCCGAAGCTTTGCAAAATATGTGTAAATACTCTGTGGCCAAGGCAGGCTCCTTTCTACAGGTTCTGTATTTACATGGTCTTTTCATTGAGTTTTGTAGAGCAATGCTGCCCTCTCCTGTTTAAAGCAAATATTGCAAATAATCACACATGGCCAGTAAACACAACAGGCTGGAAGACATTTGGAAAGATGCGATTATAACTTCCCAGGCCCAGTTTTCTTCATCTCCATGTCATTGTAGTGTTTCATTATGTTCGGCTGATCAACAATTACAACTATACCTCAGTTTTTATAATTTCCCCACTGACACACAACTCTAAGCGCACTGGGTTCATGTGATTAGAAGAGATGAGGCGCCAAATTCAAGACTATTCCAAACAGCACATACATATACAGTCTTCATTTTACCGCTGATCACATTTACGTCAATGGGTTTTATCACAGTCAGTTTTAATAGATCCATGTTAGGCGAGCCCAGTGTCGGGAACTACACTGGAGGCTGTAATCGCATCTTTCCGAACTTCTTCCTGGTTTGTGACGTAACAGTGAATAGAGCCTATTGCACAAGAAAATCTACAAACACTTTAATATACAACACAACAAGGATTTATTTCCATAGATAAAATAAATAAAATAATAAAAATAATAATAAATAAATACAGTTGTGTGTACCTTGTTGATGGCCATAGTCATGAAGTGGTCGAGGAGGAAGCGAGCCTCAGTCAGACTACAGGAGCTGATCACAGCCGTCACATCTCCAGTGTCACCCTCGTCCTGAAAACACACAAATGAACACCTGTCTCTTGCTACCTATTTCACCTAAAAAAGAGTGATTAAAAGGAGCTCTACTCATGCGCTGTTAGCAGCCAGACTCCACTATCTCATCACCAACAAGTAAAGTGAAATCTGCTACAAACTTCTACATCACTGTTATCTGCTAAAGAATCATCTTAGAAGGACAATGGACACAAACTGTACATTTTGAGAACTGAAAAATGAAACCACCTCTCACTTATTTTGGACCTGCCCAGACTCTGTGTGTTTTTGCAAAGAATTCATAAAACATATACTCAACTTCTTATCCCATTTTACCATTTCTTATAAAGATGTGTTGTTTGGTTTTTGAGTTGAGCATCATACGAAAAGTAAACAATATTATATAATTATGTGTTAAACAAGTAACCTGTCAGTTGGTTTCATGGAGGGGGGGTTATGGTAATATTTGTGTCATATAAATTGTCGGGAAATTGCATGTAAAGTAAACTGTACCTTGGCCTCCTCCATCTGCATGATGTTGGCCTGACAGTCTGCGATGCTGTCGTTGATGTAGTCGATGTTTGCACTTAAAGACTCCAGCTCCTCACTAAGAGATGCCAGGCTCCGGTCGGCGTCTGCTCCGTCGGACGCCATCTTGTCCTTCTTCCTCAGCACACGCTCACGCCGCCTCGTCAGCTCCTCTCTTTGCTTTGGAGGAAAAAGAGAGTAACATATGTGACAATTAATCCAGAAAAAATACAGCAACTGTGTTACAGCATATTTTTTAATATTGTTTTATATAAACAATATTCAGACGATATGTCAATCCAATAGAAATGTGTTAATAAATGGATACAATTAGAATCAAATATCAGACTGTAGCTGCTAGAGGTTGTGCATTGCCTTGAGTCTGACGATACGATACATATCATGATTCACATGTCACGATTCAATATATCACGATATATCCTGATACTAAAACAATGGATGATATATTGCAATTTATCAATAATTACTTCAAATAATACATTCAACTACAGCTTAAAGAGAGCACAATTGTATGAAATATAATTTATAAATTTTTTTAAATCATGAGAACAGTGAATGTAACTGGGGCTGGATATCGGTAAGAAGTTGGCGATACGATCCACACCTCGATACACAGGCCTCGATACGATACGTTTTTTGAAACAGTGCATTTTCGATTCAGTACGATTCGATACGATATATTTCAAATAGATTCGATACAGTTGGTGAAAAAAAGGCAAAATCATGGCTGTGATACTAAAAGTTCACTAAGTCCACTAAGTTTGTGCAAAGTTAAAATGAAAAACACCAATTTTAATCATCAAAACAGTGAGAATGTCAACACAACTGTAGCTCTCTATCGCAAAATGATTTTGAAAAATATACCTAAAATTACTCTTGGCGATATATCGATACAGCAGCCCACAATAACGATACTGTATCATCAAATTAATCATCGATATTTCAATATTTTTGCACACCCCTAAATGTAACAAATACATTTTTGTGAAAAATATTATTTTAAAAATCAGTTTGGATCTGTTTTGAATCGATTCACGAATTGTGCAATGAAGTTTCACAATATATCACTGAATCATTTTTTTCTTACACTCCTAATAGCTACTCACAAAAGTGCAGAAACATCACTATCCTCTATTATTTGGAAGTTTTAATTGCAGAATTTTTACTATAAACAATATATGTACACACAATATTCAAATTTCTTGTATCTTCAAAAAAACATATTTTGTTTCAATAATTTGCCCACTATTACCCATCTAAAATGAACTATTTATTTGTGTAATTGTACATGTCAATTTTGTATTCTCCACCTCACATATGAATGAATGAGTGTGTGTTTTATCATCTTTACCTTGAGCAGTCTGTTCATGTCAGTTTCCATGTTGGAGATGGTCATTTTCTGCATGATGATCTCAGTGATGCGTCTCTCCAGTGACTGCCACTTGGCCCGGGCTGTTCTGGTCAGATACACTTTACCTGTGCGCACTGGAGAGCTCCTGTAAAACACCCAAGATACAAAGGTCTGTCACGGTAACAAATTTGTTGCTACAGAGGAATATCATAATAAACCATAATATTGAAACTATATTATGCCACTTAAGTGTGTTTTATATATGGTACAGTATTATTAATGCATGAGCTATAACAAATAAACAGCAGAACATATTACATGAAAAATATCAGATTCCTTGACATGACAAAAATTGAGCCCCAAAATATACTGTTCCAGCTTTCAGATATTGAACAGTAAGTCAATATAGTAATTATTCTGACAGGTCTGAAAATATATTAGACCTAACAAACTTGGGTTGTAGTGAACATGCACGGTGCTTCATTTAGTCATCTTAAGTGCCATGATGTGAGCTCTCAAAACTATTCAGTATCTTTTTCATCTGACCATGCATCGTATAAGACTACGCAGTAGGGTTGGGTGGTAATACAGTATTACGTTATCCCGCGGTATCAAAAATAGCAACTGTATCAGTTTCATTACCGTCATAAAAAAATCTGCAGCACATAAAAACCTAATATAATATTATAATTTATTGATACCTAAATTTGTTTGCTCAACACAAATGAATGTGTGGCTGTATTTTCAATTTAATGTTATCATGATTTATAACTAATAGTATCTATAATGTTTATTTTAACTGTGTGGGGAGATAACGTTCGATTAGTTTTGTTCTGTTGTCACGTGACGCTCATAAGAGAGACCAAGACAAGACGACAAGTCCGGCCACAAACGAGTTGATCCCAAAAAAACCCCAATAAACACTAGTACTTCTGCAATTTGGCAGCATTTTGGCTTCAGGCGCACAGTTAATAATAATAATAATAATAATGCATCCGTTTTATATAGCGCTTTTTTGGACACTCAAAGACGCATTACAGAGCATTATTCATTCACTCCATACCCAGTGGTGGTAAGATACTACTGTAGCCACAGCTGCCCTGGGGCAGACTGATGGAAGCGTGGCTGCCAATCTGCACCATTGGCCCCTCCGACCACCACCATCACTCACGCACACACCACTTTCATACTAGGCAATGAGGGTGAAGTGTCTTGCCTAAGGACACAACAACAGTTTTTACGACTGATTTTCCCAGTGTCTCCCATCCAAGTAATAACCAGGCCTGGTCCTGCTGAGCTTCTGAGATCTGACAGGATCAGGCTTTGACAAGCCGGTATGGCCATGTGTGTATGTTTTACACAAACAAAACTTAAAGCCACATGAATCATTTTCATAAACTATAAAGCGCAGATAAAAACAGTTCTTTCCTTGTGTGCTGATGCAGTTCAGCTTCTGTTGGACTCAAGGACACGACTCAGTGGAATATGAGTGTTCGCTCTCTCTGACAGAGGATGTGCTGCTGACGGTGAGTCTGTTCTGTGCTTCTATCACGTTGGAGATGGTTCATGTGAAACTTTTCAGAGATTATAATTCTGCAGGTCGTAGCATAGACCCTATAGCAGTGTGGCTTTGTATTTTACCAAAGTTGTACTAAAACATTTTGGTTATACAGTAATACTGTATACCCTGGTAAAATACTGAGAAGTTTTAACGGTATAAAAATCTGGATATGCCTATCTTTACTAGCATACACAGTTATTAGTATTCACATGTAAAAAATTTTACAAAAACTCACGAATAACTCCCAAATCACCAGATAAATCACTACACACCTTCTTCGTTCTGCTGTGGTCCATAGAAATGATTATAGTGCCATTAAAATAAATTGGTTGGCGGTTTTATTCTATTTTATTATTTCTATTCTCTTGTTGTTCTTGAACTGTGCAACATTGGAATCCACATTGTGGGTCAAATAAAGCTTATTTTATCTTCTCTAAAAAATGCTGGTTGATTAAGACACTATTGACAAATTAACTGACCAAACAAACTACAGCCCCATAACAAACAGTTTATAACATCATCATAGTTTAAAATAAAAGAGCAGTAGGATGATACCTGGCCCCATTGGTGTGAGTGACAGTGGACGTGTGTGTTTTTCCCATTGGTCCTCTGTGAGCCGGCTCCTGTGTCTCTGGGGTTTTTCTGTTCATCTTCCCTGACATCGGCCTCACCTGACGCCTCAGAGCGGTCACCTACAAGTGTACAAGAATTAGGAGTAAAACAGACAGAAATAATCAAATGAACTGCTAAAAAAGACATTACGCTTGTGTATGCTGTGTAGTTTTAACATATGAGACCTGTGGATCATTGCGATGTGTTTGTGTCTTACCTCTTCATTTTTTCTTCGCAAAATTAACTCCTGTTGTCTCTTTTGGGCTTCAAGTTGCCGTAGTTGGTGCTATAAGTGAAAAGGTACAATTTAAGGTTTATATTAATTAAAATAAGTTAACAAAAGACGCTATTTTAACTTAACCCTTCCAGACCTAAGGGCAATTTTTGTAAATTTTTTCTTGCCTGGATTTTTTTTTCTTAATTTTGCTTTTAAAACTCCCCCTTTTACCCCCTAATGAAGTGTTATACATCCTTTTTTTCAGTATAGCCTGTTCTTTCACAATGTGCATGCTGCAGTTGTGTCATATGGCTGTAACAAAAGTGATAGGACCAGAAATACAAATAAAAAAAGAAAACGGAAAACAAAATTTACACTCTTTCATACAAAACACACAGTAAACATGTATAAACAACTTTTAGACATAAAAAAATGTTTAATTTAGGGCCTTAGGTACAAAAGTGCAAAATATCAAGTCTGTACGTAAACTAAAAATATCCTTATTGCTTCAAAACAGAAAAAAAAGTGCAATTGCCCCATGACTTTCCTGGTGCCAGTCATGGAAACAGCTAGTGTCAGGTCCAGGTCACAGAGCCACATCACTTCTTGCATTTCCATGGTGTTTATTACATTTGGATTTGTACATTTTGACTGAAATAAACCTTTCAAATAAAAATAGCAAAAGATGCACAATTACACAGAATAAGATGCGTAATTTGCCATTTATTTGAGAAATAACTGCACTTAGAGCGGCTTTTTCAATTGTTACAAACACAGATGCTCAGAGCCGTCGACCATCTTGACTCACTACACTCTTTGGCAAAGTTTGGGCCGATCAGAATGGATGGAGTGCATGGGTTTGGCGGAAGGCAAAGTAGGATAATGCCGGAAATATGCTTGGAAAGCTGAAAGTCTCAGCTATTCAAGGGGAAATAAAGTAAGTTTCTATCTTTTATGGTTGGAAAGTTACGTGTGGTTATGTAAAACATGTCGGTCTGGAAGGGTTAAAGAAGTGTAAACAACATTATAATATTCATAATTCCCACACCTCAGCTCTGCGTTGGTCTTTCTTGAGCGTGGCGATCTCTCTGTTCCTTCTGGTCTCTGAGGCCCTGCTCCTCTCCTGCTGCTCCTTCATCTGACGCATCAGCAACACCTGGTGGACACAAACCCACAGCACATCACTACATGCACTTTATTCACTTTTTTTGTATGAGACAGCTTTCCAAACGCATGTACCTTGGTCTTCTTCATCTCGGTGACATCCTGTTGTAGTTTTTTGAGCTGTTTTTCATACTGGGACTGGTTCTTGAGCAGGCGGGCGTGCTCCTTTTGGGCGGACTGCAGTTTCTGGAGCTCTTTGTTCATAGAGCTCAGTTTCCGCTCGTATTCAGCTTTGATCTTCTTGGCTTTCTCCTCAGTGCATGACTCCACAGATCCTGAGCAAGCACAAGGAAAGGGAGAATTAAGTATTTAGTTTAGTCTTTTGCTGAAAGTAAAGCAACCAACACAATGCAACCAGTAATATTCATGAAAGAATGTTGACCCTCTCTTCAGGACTAATGATGTGACATGACCAACAGATCTCAGATTGGAAAATAATCAAATCATCTTTCTATGTTTATGTTTATGTTTATGTATTACCAAATTACCTCAGCACAAACTCAGAGCAACAGGAAAGAAAAACAGGCTTGTTTTACATACCTTTTTCCATAGTGTTTTTTTTATATAACATTATTTTAAAGGGTATTTACATTGTCCCACTTAATGTTTGAACAATTTTAATGAAATAACTCCATCACCATTCACCCAAGTGCCTACTTATTGGAAATTGAAAAATAATTAGTGATCAGATTGGCTTCTTAAAATCAAGGGTGGAAAGTAACGAATTTACTCACATTACTGTAACTGAGTAGTTTTATGAATAATTTGTATTTTTTTGAAATAGGTAATTTTACTTTTACTTGAGTAAATTTTGACCCACTTGACTTCATTACATTGGAACCCACCCTCGTTACTGAGTAAAAACAGACTGATAGAGGAAAAATTTAATGCAAAAAAAAAAAAAAGATGCCAGAAAGTAAAGGAAATTGCACGGGCTTGCACACACAACATTTACAGTTATTGTACAGACTTGTCAGTCTATCCTGGACCAACTTGGATGATGCTGGTGCCGAGCCACAGATCGAGGTCGTCATGGCACTTTTTAATTTCTTGTATCAGCAGTCAGTGTGCCATGTCTTCAACATTTTCGTTTTGCATAGTTTGATTTTGGTTTAATTTTCTTTCTTTTTTATTGTAGTGTTGTGAGTTCGACCATATAATTCAGAATTTGTTAAATTGTTATTTTTTTTATTAGTTAAATTTGTTATGTTGGTAAAGTTCTAAGTTCTATAAAGTTCTATGAAAAGAAGCAAGAGCTCAGCGTTAGTAAGAGTTAAGCGCAATTGTCTTTAAAATGTACAAAGTTTGCTCTGTATCGCCTAAAAGTTGATTAAAACAACTTGTGCTGGATTAGATTTATGACTCATCCTTTTTTACATCAAATAACTGAAAGTAACAAAGTAACTTTTGCTCAAATCACATTTTAAATCAAAGGGCCCGTCTCATGTAAAATCAACTTTTCTGAGCTTTCTACCTTCTAAGAGTGATGTGTGGGTCTTGTATATGTCGCCAAAGTGGTTTTTAGAATGATTCTGCGTTTTTTCTGTGTATTTCTGCCACCCTCCCACATGACAACGAACTAAAGCTGCAACAACGATGACGCTTTTGACGTAGCAGAAGGCACTTCGCACCCGCCCCTGTCCCCTGCTTCTCTGCCTCGCCCCCACCCCGCATCAGCTGACAATTCCCAGATGAACACCTAAACAAAAGCGTAAGCATAAACTAATTGTTTTACACTGCAGTGTCAGTAAGATTTCATAACTCTTGTGTAATGGATGTTCCAAAACCCAAATTGTGCTTGTATATGTGCATAAGATACAATGTGAAAAGAATTATTTTGCATGAGATGGGCCCTTTAAGCACTTTTTTTTACTTTTACGCGAGTAGATTTTTAGATGGTTACTTTTACTTCAGTAGGAATTAAGCAAAGTAAAGATACTTTTACTTACGGTAATCAAAAGCACTTTTCAGCACTTTTTCCACCTCGGCTTAAAATATAAACAAATATAAAAAGAGCCAGTCTGTCAGTTTCTTGTAAGTTAATAGATCCAAAATATCCAACTCCCTATTTTTCGTAGTATATTTGTCTGCGTGCTTTCATCTAAGTGTCTGAAATAAATGATGAAAAGATGAAGAGGACCCGTCTGGACTCACCCATGTTGTGCAGCACCTTGTCCCTCTCGAGCTGAGTGTCTCTGATCTTGTTCTGGAGCATCATGAGCTTCTGTTCGTACTGCTGTTTGAGCGTGTGCAGACGCCGCTGACTGTTCTCCAGCTCGTCGATCAGCTTCTGCTTTATGGCGATCTCACACGTGATGTTGGCCAAGTCCGCCTGCACGTTTTCTGATCAAATACAAATACACAGGATTTCACAGTGAGCAACGCATTCTTTTAACTTAGTTGACTATACTACATTACTATATTTTTTTTCATATAGTAAATATTTTATACTAAAATTACTATTATAATATATTTTTACTGTGTGAAAAGTTTACAATTTGAAGTCACATATTACATTTTTTACGATTATGCAGTAATGTATGCATTTTTTGTTGTTTTGTTTTGTTGTTTATAAAAATACAAAGCAGAAAACTGGCTAGGAGTATGTTATTATTTTCTGAAAACCACCAAGATTAAAATGATGAGCAACTATATAACAAAATATACAATAATTTTATGACATTTTAACTAAAATGTGTGTTGTCAGTTGCAATTTCACTTTATTATTAATCCTTTATTAAAACAGGTTTGCTTCTTATTATCCCATCTCATTTGGCAAAGTGACCTGAAAATTACTATGCAACTTTTGATTTATTTGATACACATTATTTTATGTATTAACATTACTTTGGGTTATTAGTATTTTGTATATTTAACTGTAACTCGTCATGCCCACAGCTGCAAGAGACTGGTGAGAACAATATATTCGGGTTACACTTGTATGTGCAGTAGAGCCCTGCACCCAACGCAAAACAGTGCAGCATGAAACACATTTTGAAAGCAGGAGTGGAACTGGACAATGTGAGAGCGGGCGGGTAGAATAATAAACTGCAGTCCCGCAAACTAAATATGAGTGTAAAGTAAAATATACAAATGATTCATGTTTGCCTATTATACATCATTTGTGCTGGATATTCTATTTGGCATTAATAAAAACATTTTAAGCAGCCTAAACTTGCAGATGTGGTCTAATCTTGCGCACATGTTACACAATTCCTTTCCGCTTCTCCGTGTTTGATAGAGCTTAAGAAAGCGAACATCCCCATCTTGCGGGACTTGGGACAAAATATCGCAGATGCAGGCCGGAGCAGGAATGAAAATAAAAAAAATTTTGCGGGTGCAGGCTGGAGAGTGACTGAAAATTCTGTCCCGTGCCGAACTCTAATGTATAGTCCTTTTTTAGACTTTTACCTTTCTCGTCCAGTTCTTCGGAGTCGGACTCCTCAGACGATTCCTCTGCGGCCATTTCAAATTCTTCCTCTTCTCCATCAGCGTCTTCGTTATCGTCATGGTCACTGGCCTCCTAAAAAAATATGAGGTAAAAAATAAAATAAACAATGAATAAGCATGTAAAGGAGATTGTTGCCAGTTAAAATCACTTTTAACCATGAGATGTACATGGCAAATTTGTAGACCCTTTAACAAAAAATGATAAGGTTCACCATTTGTGTATTTTCTGTGTGGATATTTCTTTCAAAAACTCTTTCCATCTGAAATAATGCATATTACCTCTCCGTCCTCATTGGCGCGCTCCTGGTCATTGTCAGGGACCTCCTCTTTGACAACACTGTAAACAAACACATATTATTTTTATTATAATACATTACATATAGAGTTGATAATATTGTTTTGTTTGTTGGTTAAAAGCTAATATGAACTACATGCATGTGCTGAGTTTTTTTTAAGCCTGAAGATGTATGATCTTTTAAAAATCAGGAATAGAGTGATACACAAAAGATTAGAATGTGATTGGCTCATGATTTGTATTTGTATTATTGCACACTGCACATAGTTAATTGGGAACAGATACCACGAGGATTCAGTGGCTTCAGAAAGTTTTCAGACTCCCTCTTTTAAATCTTTCAAAGTTATTTTGGTGAAGCCAGTGACTAAAACTAGTGACATTTTGCTTTATTCTTAAAATCATTATAGAATAATACTACTATCATAAATATGAAAACATTTTGAGGCCACTGTAAGATGTGTCAAATTAAAGGTCCTATATTACACAAAACTGACTCTTTAAGCCATGTTATAATGTTGTTACCTCCTCAAAAACATATCTAGAGTTGTGTTTTGTTTCATTCACACATGTTTCAGTAATCCTTTATTATGAGTCTGTCTACATCTCCAAGGCTCAAAATGCTGTTCCACCTTGTGACATCATGTAGTGGTAGTTTTCAAGTTAAAAGGAATTTGGACATTGGCTAACTAGAAAATAAGGTCCAGAGTGTTGGAGACATGTGGAGACACTTTATAAAATATTCCATCCAGTCACTGGTGTTAGACTAGTGCATGTCAATGGCCATAGTTATACTGCCAATAAAAACAGTCTTACCCACTCCACGAAGCACCAGAAGCAAATCTATTATTATGCCAGACTGTCGATGTAAATGCCTGCTGATAGAATAATGTTTGAAACAGGGTTGGGCGGTATCCAAATTTGTATACAGTTAAACCTTTTCAGGACTTTACCAAGGTATACGGTATTACAAAAAATTTTTAGTACGATTTTGGTAAGCTACGAAGCCGCACCGCTGTACTGTCTATGCTATGAACCAACGCGATACATGTGCAGAACAGAATCACCGTCAGCCGCACATCCTCTGTCACAGAACGAACACTGAGTTGTGTCCTTTAATCTGACAGAAGCTGACCTGCATCAGCGCACAAGGAAACAGCTTTTTTTTTATCAGCCATCAAATGAGCCATGTGGTTTTAAGTTTTGTTTCTGTAAAATGTAAACAAATGTACGCCTGAAGCCAAAATGCTGTCAAATTGCTAGTGTTTTTTTTTGGGACCAACTCATTTGTGGCCGGATTTGCCGTCTTCTCTTGGTCTCCCTTATGAGCGTCACGTGACAACTGAACAAAACTAATCAAACATCATCTCCCCACGCAGTTAAAAGAAACATTATACACACTATTAGTTTTAAATCATGATAACATTAAATGAAAAATACAACCACACATTCATTTGTGCTGAGCAAACAAATTTAGGTATCAACAAATTATAATACTGTATTAGGTCCTTATGCGCTGCAGATTTTTTTATGACTGTAATGAAACTGATACTGCTACTTTTTGCTGACTTTTTTGATATTGTAATACCGTATTACTGCCCAACCCTAATTTGCATGAATCATTGCATGTTGAAGGGACTATTTTCTCAGCAGCAGCAGAATTTTTCTTTGCCAGGTGCTAGGTGATATCAGTCCGCCGCCGCCAAGCTTTCTGTCAGGAAGTACAACTCACTGCTGCTGCTCAGATATAAATCCTTCAAATGCAAGGTTGGTTTTACTTCTAAATTTATTCTATCACACAAACATTTACATCGACAGTCTGGTGTAATAATACATAATAACAGACCCCACGAGCGTCCCCAGAGCGTATGCAGGATTTGCGAGTTAAACGTGTAAATGAAACAAAAACTCAACTCTAGGGTCTGTTTGTGATGAGGAAACAACATTATAACAGATCATAAAAAAGCACAATATGGGACCTTTAAGCTTCAATTAAAATTAAAAGTGGAAAGACGAAAAATGGGGTCAGGATTTAAAACTGCTTCTCGACCAGTACGATCACCTGTACAGAAATAAACAGATGTTAGACCGGGACCAGAGAGGGTAAAGGTTTAAAGGTTAGTGACTAAGACTAGTGAGATTGGAGGTGATTTGCAGAATCAGTGGATTAGCCCCGTTGCATTGTGGGACTTTTCAAACCTGGCAGTGCCCACGTCCCGCTGAGGACTGTCTTCATGACGCCGCAGTCTTCACAGGTTTAAATGAGGGTGTGGTGAGGTGTGAAGAGGGAGAGAAGGAGAGAGGGAGAAGGAGGAAGGAGAGAAAAGGAGGGGGAGAGAGAGAGAGAGAGAGGAGTGAGAAAAAAAGAGAGAGAAAAGGATGGAGACAGAGAGAGTAAGAGAAAGAAAGAGAGCGTAGAAAGAGAGACAGGTGTGAGAATGAGAGAGAGACAGAGAGAAAGAAAGGCGGAGAGAGGGAGAAAGACAAAGGAAGAAAGAGAGAGAGGGAGAGAAAGAGACAGGAGTGAGAATGAGAGACAGAGAGAGAGAGAGAGAGACAGAGAGAGAGAGAGAGAAAATGAAAAGGGAGATACAGAGAGAGAGAAAGACGGAGAGAGAGAGAAAGAAAGAGAGAGATGGAGAGGGAGGAAGAGAGAGTGTAGAGAGAGAAAAAGAGAGGGAGAGAGACAAAGAGAGGGAGAAGGGAGAGAGAGAGAGAGAGAGAGAAAGACGGAGAGACAGAGAAAGACAGAGACAGCGATGAGAATGAGAGAGAGACAGAGAGAGGGAGACAGAAAAATGGAGAGAGAGAGAGAGAAAGAGAGAGGAATAAGCGAGGCAGGGAGATAAAGAGAAAGACAGAGAGAGAGAGAGAGAGAGGCGTGAGAATGAGAGAGAGACAGAGAGAGAGAAAGACGGAGACAGAGATAGAGAAAGATGGAGAGGGAGGGAGAGAGAGAGAGAGTGTGTAGAGAGAAAGAAAGAGGGAAAGAGAGACAAAGAGGAAGAGAGAGAGAAAGACAGAGAGGGAGAGAGAGAGAGAAAAATAAAGAGAGAGAGACAGAGAGAGAGAATGACAGAGAGGGAGGAGAAAGACAAACAGAACCATAGAGAAGGAGAGAGAGAGAGAAGACAGAGAGGAAGAGAGAGAGTATGTAGAGAGAGAAAGAGAAAGAGAGAGGAATAAGAGAGGTAGGGAAAGAAAAAAAGAAGAAGGAGGGAGGGAAGGAGAGAGAGAGGAAGAGAGAGAGGAGGGGTGTTGACAAGGCCAAAGGAAGGAGTGAGAAGGAGCGGCAAGAAAGAAAATGTGAGTGAACTGAAAAAACTTAAAGATGCACTATGTAACTTTCCATCAGAAAAGTTACATAAAAACTTTAAAGACAAGTCTGTTTTCAGATTATTCACTTCAGTGTCCATGTTTGAAGGAGAAATAAAAAAAACACCAACAATTGTAACTAAATATTTTTTTCTGTCAATACTAAGATCACTCAATGCCTCAAGAAACTACAGGTAATGATCTTTCTCTTCCTCTTTTTTGTTATGGAGTGATGTAACAGAAGTATAGTCCTGTGTGCCAGCTCCATCAGGCCTGACAGGAGCAGAAACCAAACACCTTTCACCTTTATGCAAATAAAAGAAAGACATCAGACTCTTTCTGTGTCATTGAACTGTGTCACTGTGTAACTCTACACCTCCTCTTCCTCCTTTCACAGTAAAGCCTTTCTTAAGTTCTATTAGTCCAAGTACAGACACGTGTGAGAGCCACGTACAGCATAGAAAACACAGCATCCAGTACTGTGTGTAGTTTTAGATGCAATTTGTTAAAAAATAAATAATCACACCAATATTTTAAACGTTTTTGTCAAGATATGGTATTCACTTTTAGCATTTTCACTACTTGCTTGCTACTATTTGCTTCAGAAACTTTTTTAAATAACAATGTACTTCTTGGAGTAGTTTTCAGATACTAAACGTTTAAGGTGTACCGCATGACTTTTCCGGCTGTCTCCACGGAGATGTCATTCATTTCCCTGGTATGACATTAAAGGGATAGTCTGGAATTTTGGACATAGGACCTCATTTCCTAGTGAGCCAGAGTGATAGAAACGTGTGCAGACACTTTTTTAAATATTCCATCCAGTCCTTATATTTGCAGAGGTTCCTGGGGCTAGGCTAGTGGCACTAAAAACAGTCTTACCCACTCCACAAAACACCCGAAGCAAATCTATTATTACACCAGACTGTCGATGCAAATGTCTGTGTTGATAGAACAATGTTTGAAATAAAACTAACCTTGTATCACATGAATTGTCGCATGTTGAGGGACTATTTTCTCATATATCAGTCCGCCGCTGCCAAGCTTTCTATCAGGAAGTACAACTCATTGCTGCTCAGACATAGATCCTTCAAATGTAAGGTTGGTTTTACTTCTAAAATTATTTTATCAACACAGACATTTATATCAACAGTCTGGTGTAATAACAGATTTGCTTCGGGTGTTTTGTTGAGTGGGTAAGACTGTTTTTAGTGGCAGGATAACTATGGCCATTGACATGCACTAGCCTAGCACCAGCGACCTCTGCAAATACAAGGACTGGATGGAATATTTAAAAATGTGTCTCCAACACTCTGGCTAACTAGGAAATGAGGTCCTATGTCCAAAATTACGGACTGTCCCTAACATATCCATCTACATTTACTCATGTCGTGTGTTTGTATTGGTCAAAAATACATTAATTCCTTCTGTGAATAGGAGCGACTCTCCGCAGATCTGAATAGTAATGTAGCGTAGTGCTGTAACTACTTATCTATAAATTTAATCTGCACTGTGGAACATACTAGACAAAGCAATAATATTTCCATGGCCCTCCACTAGATATCTGACAGTGTATGCTCTTAATTAAGTTTTGGTTTTAAGTTTAAGTTTTGGTTACTCTTCACACTCTTAATGTACCAGTGATAAAAGTTTTAACAGTTTTAAATGATTTGAGCATTTGTGTTTCTTGCACTTATGATCTGATTTTGTTTATTTTTCTTCTTATTATGGTCTGTCCTTTGAAAATATTTTGTTTGTTCAATTACACTAATGTCAAATTATAAAAAATATTCAGATTCATTGTAGCAGCCTTCATAAAACCGTATATTTGTATCGTGTACCTTTTCTTCTTCTTCTTCTCCATCTTCTTGAGTTTCTCCAGGTCTTTCTTGGCCATCTCGATGACCTCGTTGGCCTCCTTCTCGGGGGCGAGCAGAGCCGGAGGGAAGGAGCCCGCCCCATACAGAGAAGAACGAGTCGACGCCCGGGACAGGTTCTTCCTCAGGTTTTCATTCATAGATTCACTCTCCAGAAGTTTGGCCCTGAAATTTACAATAAAATATTATTTTTTTTTTTTTTTTTGACTGAATGTTTATTATTTAGTTCTATTTTATTTTATAGAGAAGCAGAGGGAGGGAAAAAGAGAGAGAGAGGAAGGGGAGAGAGATGGAGAGAGAGTGTAGAGGGAGAGGAAGAGAAAAAGAGAGGAATAAGTGAAGTAGGGAGAGAGAAGCAGAGGGAGAGAGAGAGAGGAAGAGAGAGAAAGAGGAGGGGAGAGATAGAGTGTGTAGAGAGAGTGGAAGAGAAAGAGAGGAATAAGCGAGGTAGTGAGAGAGGAAGAGAGAGAGAGAGAGAGGAGGGGAAGAGAGAGGAAAGGAGAAGGAGAGAGAGAGAGGAGGGGAAGAGAGAGGAAAGGAGAAGGGGAGAGAGAGATGGAGAGAGGGAGAGAGACAGAGAGAAAGAGAGAAGAATAAGCGAGGTAGAGAGAGAGAGAAGCAGAGGAAAAGAGAGAGAGAGGAGAGGAAGAGAGAGAAAGGGAGAGAGAGAGACAGAGAGCGTCTATAGAGAGAGAGAAAGAGAGGAATAAGTGAGATAGTGAGAGAGAAGCAGAGGGAGGGAGAGGGAGAGAGTGTGTAGAGAGAAAGAGAAAGCAAGGAATAAGCGAGGTAGGGAAAGAGAAGCAGAGGGAAGAATGGAGAGAGAGAGAGAGGAAGAGAGAGAGGAGGGGAAGAGAGAGAGAGCGAGAGAAGCAGAAGGAGAGAGAAAGAGAGAGACAGAGAGAGGGGAAGAGAGAGAGTGTGTAGCGAGAGAGAGGAATAAGCGATGTAGAGAGAGAGAAGCAGAGGGAGGGAGAGAGCGAGAGGAAGAGAGAGAGGAGGGGAAGAGAGGAATGAAGAGGGAGAGAGAGGGAGACGGAGAGAGACAGAAAGAGAGGAATAAGCGAGGTAGGGAGAAAGAAGCAAAGGGAGGGAGGGAGAGAGAGAGAGATAGGGGAAGAGAGAGGAGGGAAAGAGCGAGGAAGGGAGAGATGGAGAGAGAGAAAGAGAAAGCGAGAGGAGGGGAAGAGAGAGGAAGGGAGAGGGATAGAGACGGAGAGGGAGGGGAGAGAGAAGGAAGAGCGGTAGAGAGAGAGGGAGAGGGCGAGAAAGAGAGAGGGGAGGTGAGAGAGCGATAGATTGGGAAGGAGAGACAGTGAAGAAAAGACAGATAAAGAGATAGATTTATTTTAACTTGTACATTTACATTTATATAATTATACCTTATTGACACCAGTCTCACACTACTTTTAATACTTATTTAAACTGTATTACCATTTATATTTTTACTCTTTTTATTATAATATATTATGATGTGTGAGCCGCTGTGTCCAAATAATTTCCCTTGTGGATCAGTAAAGTTTGTCTAAGTCTAAGTTGATTAATTGATTTGTTTGTTTTTATTTCAGTTTGTGCCAAGAGAGAAAACGTAATTATATTTTTGCACACCCCTAGTACAAAGTCTTAAGTGTGTTTGGGGATTTTGATACAGGTAAGAAGATCACCTGGTAAAGCTAAAAAGCCCCTATCAGGTTTAAATTACACTTTTGGCATCTTTACACACAATACACTTATGACTCCCAAAGGGCAACTTACATAAAAAATAGGACGTATCACAACAACAATGAGATTAGATCATAGAGTAATATAAGATGTGGAGAAACTAGGCTGCCTTTGGTCCTGGCTAGATCCTGGTCAAGTCCAGGTTTAATTCCGGCTTTAGTCCCAGTTCAGTCCCATTTTAGATGTAGTGTGTATCGTGAATGCATCAGTGTTTATTCAGTCACTCCATAATATATTCATTAGAGTCATTAGAAAACAGAGAGAGTTATGATGTATAGAATTGAGTTTTTCTTAATTGTAAAACCTGACCACTAAGTTAGAAGTTATTTACTTTTAATTGTAATTTAATCTTACCTTAGTTCTTCAATTTCTTTGATGTAATTGTGAATCATGTTTCCGATTTCCTCATTGCCTTCACCTTTAAAACAGAACATAACAAACCTTAAAAAACACACAAAAAACACATAGACATATTGGTTATATATAGGCTTAAATCTTGCTCATCTGGGCCGATAGTTCACGTGGGCATGTTATACCTCGTTATAAAGTTTAGACTCTCTATATTACGTCTATTTAATACAATTTGCAGACAGATAAATGTCCTAATATGTGGCTCCGCATCAATATTTATCTGCGGAGGAATTTGTCTGTGTCTGTGACGCCGTACTGCCCCTGAACGCGCCCCCAGAATCTTGTCACTCACCTGTGTTTGTTTACACGCTGCTGCTGTCAACACGCTGGATTATATTATTTTTACAAATGATCTTTTAGAATCAGGATTGAAAGGACACTTATTAGTGAAGACTTGAGGTGTCTGTGTGAGCGCTGAGTGTTGCAAATTTGAAGATACTTTTGTTCTTTCTCATTGTTTAGCTGCTGTAGCTCTCACACATAAACAGCCAGTTTTCTCTGACACTGGCCAACTGTAATGTGACTATAGTGGCTGTATATATGTTTTTGAACCTGCATTGATATGTAAATGAGCTGTGAATAGAGGTGTGAATGATGAGTATTTACGCATTTAATTAATTACACGCATGCATTTACCACTGAAGGCTGATAGCGGTAGTTTACTTACTTACTTTACAGGCTAGAATGTGATGCAAAAATGCCATTAGTTCTACCTACTGTCTTTAAATATGACTTTAAAGAGGCAGAATAACAATAAATGTCACCTAAATAAACCCAATTTAAAATCCAATAAAACCAAACCTAAGTTTTATAATCAACTGAAGATGTATAGTGAATTTGTACATCACTAAATATATCAGCTTTTATATCGGCTATCAGCACTGACAACTCCTGTTTTATTGGTATTATATCGGCCACAAAAAATCTATACTGGTCGGGCCCTAGTATTGAGTATCAAGTAATTACTCAGTATCAAAACATCAGTATGATCTTAAGTGTAAATAAATCTTTTGAGTACATTATACTCTGTTGCTCTGACCTGCTCTGGCGAGTACAGTATTGGCCTGATCACTGAGGAGCTGTGTGAGTCTGGCTCTCTGGGCGTCGATGGTCTCCTGCATGGCCTTCACTCTCAGCCTCAGGTTTTTATTCTCCGTCTGAAGCATCGAGTTTTCATGGACCAGATCGTTCATGCCCTCCAGCCCGTCCTCTCCCACCATACGCTTCCCCTGGAGATACAAAGAGTTTATAAGTGTAAACACAAACAATCACAATCGAATAAATGTGCTCTAATAACGATCAGATTTCTTGGGCTGCAGTTATTTAGATAATAGAATGTTCTCTGCAAAAAGCAAAACATCATGTCTTTGTATAGAAAAAAGATATAACTGGTTTAAATCTCTATATGTTCTGAAATATATGGAAATAATTTAGGAGTCCATATTTTAAAAAATTTGCAAAATTACAATCAAATAACAAAGTAATCACAATGAAATTATTTTCTAAAATCATGCATCCATGATTGTTCATAAATATCTTTTGAATAAATTGCATTTCTGTTCATTAGCATTTTACATTGAAGTCCTGGTAAATGCACTATGTTGTGATAGATAATAAAAAAATATTATTAAAAATAATAAGGCTCTGCAATTAATCGAATTTTGATCCTGATTTCAATTTATGTGTCAAACAATCTACAAACTCATATAATCAAGTTGAAATGATAAAGCTTAGCAAAGTTTATTTTGGGATATTTTTTTATATAAACGAGTATATTTATTTAATTTTTAAAAAATATATAGATTGTAGAACAGCTGGATATATACTTTATTTTGGATACATTTATGTTTTTCTATGCCTTATTTCATGTTTAAAGTATATTTTATACATTTTATGTTTTATGCATTGCAAAACTGCTCTAAGGTTCATATTTTTAGCCTATATTTATTTTCAATTTGAAAGTTTTGCATAAATTATCAATAACAAAATGTTTTTTTGAGAAAGAATTGCTGAATAAATGCATCGTGCCACTAAAAATAATCGTAATGATTTCAACATTGTCCAAAATAATAATGATTAAATTAATTATGAAATTAATAATGATTTTTTTTCCATAATCGAGCAGCCCTAAATAATAACACAGTTTTTAATTGTGTACGTTTAAGTTTTCAATTTTCCGTATATGATGTGGTTATAACTTGAAATCATTTTGTGACCCCCAGTTTGAGAAACGTTAATCTGGAAATATAAGTTTGAAGGGCTTCACAGTACATCACAATCAAAATGAAATCACAATCACAATCACGAGCAATTATCAAACTGCAAAGCCTCAAATTATTTAATAGAATATAATCAGAAAACAACAAAAAATCTTGTTGTACCCGTCATTTAACTGCTGTGCTGAATTCTATGAGTTTATCAATCATTTTCTTGTCTTCTCTCAAACATTAATGTGCACATCGAACAGAACCCTACTTTTTAAACATATATTACAAATCTAATCGCCCTACTGAAACTTGCATGCCTCGATATAAACATTACTCTCATTGATGTTAAGAAATGGTCATGTTTTCCCATACTTTATTACTGTTTCTCACCGTCTTGTACTCCATCAGTTCCATCTGCAGTCGTGCGATCTCCGTCCTCAGAGCGCTGATCTGTTGACTGGCTCTGTCCTGGTTCACCACCACCTTATTCTTAATGTTGCGAGCTCTGTTTGCATATTTCAGCGTGTTCAGAGTCTCCATGAAGTCCCTGTCCGAGGGGCTGATGCAGGCGATCATCACTGTTTGACTGGAAAACGAGCAGCATTCATTCATTACACGAGGCGTGATACAGAAATAACACAGTCTCTGGTGTTAATGAGAGGCCTCACAAACCTGTTGCCTCCTAATGAGTCTTGTAAAAGTCTGGTGAGTTTTGAGTCTCTGTACGGCACGTGGCTGGAGCGTTTACTGCGATCTCCCAACGCGCTGATGACGTTTCCCAGAGCGAGCTGAGAAAAAAAGAGATATTAGAGAGAAAGTACAGAAACATGTAGCCTATTATTTGATTGCAGTTCTTGTCTGTGCCACTAGAGGGACACTACTTGAACTTCATGTAACACTATGTTCATACTCCTGTATACTTTACAGAGACGTATAATATAAGACAGGGGTGTCCAAACTATGATAATTTTTTGTAAGCCCTCAGACTTCCTAGCCAGGCTGGTGCCACATAGTGCCTCCGCTCAATTTAATTTCTCTTCAGCGACTAGGAATCAAATCGAAATACACTAGACGGTTTGCAAGAACCCCAGAAGTTGCAGACTGCGCACTGGCCAATCAGCAAAGAGCTGTGAAGCCATGATGTCAAACTCAAGTGCCTGTCTGGGTCCCTTTTGTGGTACAGCACAACAGTAAACAAAGTGGTCGAGATGGATGTAGACAAAGCCATACATTCTATGTTGGCAACGATTCCCGAGATCGAGGATTTAAAGCCGGAACAAAGAGAATGTTTTGTGAATTTTATCAAGGGGAAAGACGTTATTGCCCTTCTTCCTACGGGATTTAGCATATTACATACGTCATGACCAAATAGCAGGGATTGGTTTAATAAAAAAAAAAGTATCTGTCTACCATCGAGCGAACGAATTCTAATGCTGCGAGGTCAGACAGTTTCCACAAAGTGAAACCGGCTGATGAATCAGGCTACAGACTTCCTGCTTAATTGGCCCAAACGATCAAAAGTAGTATTTCTAACATCACATGACCACTCTGATGACGACTGCGAGTGAGGACTCTTAAATGTCAGGTATGAAGACAAACTAAATGTTGGTCAGTTCATAAAATTGTGATGTGATTCAGACTTCTTCTTATTGTTTCATGCTTTATTAACATGCAACATTTTGAATAATTCACTTTTGTCTTGTCAGTGTCATCCATCCTTCATCCACATTTCAATATGTGGCCCTCAATGAAATAAAAGTTTGGTCTTTGGTCTCTGATAAGCATGATTGACAGGTGGATCAACCAATCAATAAAAACTATTGCTCACCCATTTCAAAACACTGGCTGCAGTTACATGTGCACTCCAGATGTTATCATTATCAGATTTTTGGTGTTATAACAGTATTAAAATAACAAGTAAACAAAAAAAAAAAATCACATTTTTGCCTGATCATGGGCCCTCTTGTTACTTCTGTTATATCAGATTTTGAAGTCTGCATGTCATTGTAATAAACATTAAAGTCCAGAAATCAGATACTAATTCGACACTGTTCATCTGATATAAAAGACTTTGTTCTGATATGAGGATATTTAAGACAAAGAAAACAAACAGGTCCATTGACTTCCTATTCAAAACCGCAGAGTGGACCCCCTCCTGCCCTCAAACCCAAACAGTCTGTATTGAGCGAGTCCTCACCAGTCCACAGTTGATGGAGATCCCCTCTTTGGCTCGGTCCCCTGTGGCTCCAGTCCTCTTCAGACGCTCAGATCCGGCCAAATCCACAAAGTGAAACTTGGCTGTCAGTGTCTCAAACTCATTTATCTCAGAGTTATTAGCTAATCTGTTGTCTGTCTCATTGTCCTGGAGAAGAAACCAGAAGAAACTGTTGTGTTCACTGGATAACTGGTTATATTTCTGTCAAGGTAATACTTCTTTATTTCAAAAAGCTAAAAAAATATAAAAATTAAAAGTAATGATAGAGTGATGAACGCTTATGGCTAAAAGTACATACACATACATATATAAACATAATTAAAAATCAACTAAATGCATAAAAGATAGTTGAAACTATAACAAAAACAATGAGTTGACTAAATTTTAAAGGTGCCCTATGTAACTGTTGTGGTAGAGGGTTGCTTATGTCCATGGAGATGTTATTGCTTTGACAAGAATGTTTCACAGTATTAGGGCTGGGCATCATTAAGAAGTTGCCGATACGAAACATAACTTGATACATGGACCACAATACGATACATATCTCAATACAGGGCACTTTTGGTTAGATACAATATATTTCAAATCGTTTCAGTAAGGTTAAAAAAAAAAAAAATGGCTAATTTATATGTACAACACTAAAAGTCTTTGTTAAACTGCTTCTTGTGCAAAGTTAATATAAAAAACACCAATTTTAATCATCAAAACTGTCAAATATGTCACATAAACAAGTTTCCTTCCTCTAAACAAGCAACAAAACTGTAGCACTGTTACAAAATAATTTTGTAAAATATACCAAAAAATACTCTAAGTGATATATTGATACAGCAGCCCACAATATCGATACTGTATTAAACAATACGATATATCAGTATTTCAATATTTTTGCACACCCCTGCACAGTATGGCATTAAACTCTCAGCCCCCAAGGAGAAAGACTCTGTCAAGTTACAGGTCAGATCTGTGAAGACTCCGTAAAAATGCAGTTTTCAAGGAATTTTGTTTGGAATACAAACACATCCAAATCTCTTGGTACGATATTTTCACGATATATATCTCACGGTTCGATATTTTTTGCAATATTTTCTGGAGACTAACAAAATTGTGAATGTTACTTTTTCCTTTTAAAACGCAAGACTTTGGTTCTGTCATAATCTAAACAATTAAGATTTAAAAGTGCTTGTAACAATTATTTCTTCATATAATTGGCACTGAAACGGAGCAAAGGATCATGGTCTATGTAGTTCCCTTTGATTTTGAGCCTATATTGCTGCACTACTTGTAATTCGATATATTGTGATGGTCCACGATATTATTGTGAGACTTTTGACGATAAGATATCACAATATTTCGGTTACTGTTACATTCCTGTAAATACAAGATAGAGTCTAATGTTATATTATTCTAAAGTTATATTACGGAACATTCTGGGCAAAGCAATAACATCTTCAAAAAAGCTAGAAAAGCACCTTGGACTGACTCAATTCAACACTAAACTACAGGTAAAAAATACCAAATCTAACACTTCTGTCTTCTACATGATAACTGCGAGTCCGTACGTTGTTGTCGGGGGAGCAGACTCGGACTTGGCACAGGTGGATGGTGAAGATGGCGTGGGACCTGGAGCTCTGCACGTTCATCTGGGTGCTCGCTGTGGTCCTGGACAGAGCGCCGAGCTTCAGACACTGCATCATCTGAAAGTGCAGGCAGATAAAAATACATTACAACAACAGACATAAAAGGCGTGTGCTGCTGATAATCGAGGCTGAATGAATTAGTTGCAGAAGATTTTCCACATTACACACAGCTGCTACGTCTAATGTGGATTTTGTTTTTCTTATGTACAAACTGAAGTGAAGTTGTAGTAGACTTTTCACTGTCAATTGTTTAAACATATCTACATATCTACCTATATTTATCTTTTTTATGATGACTGTGTAAACATACAGCCACTTCTTCAGCTTCATTGCTCTTCTATTTCCATTTGAACTCACTAGTCTGCTTAAAAAGACACATCTGGCAAACTGAGGACAAACTGGGAATTGCACACTGGCACATGGAAAGTGGGACAGCTTCGAAAAATATATTAGTGCAAAATTTCAGGTATTTTTTTTAAAGAGACAATAAGAATATATGAAAAACCATCCCCTGATATCACTGATTCCAATATTAGTATAAAGATATATTTCCATTCCTAATGTCTTTTTGGAATAGTCTAAAACATTGTTTCCCAAAGACTGGGCTGCGACCCTCAGGTGAGTCGCAAGAGATTTTTTTTTGGGTTGCCTTGTCACAATCTAGCCAGGCTGGCGCCACCTAGTGCCTCAGCTCAATTTCATTTCTCTCCAGCGACTAGGCCAGGAATCAGAATACACTAGAAGGTTAGACAAAAGCTCCAAAACTGTGAGTTCGGGCATCAGCCAATCAGCAAAGAGATAGACATTCTGTGTTGGCAACGATTCCTAAGATCGATAATTTAAAGCTGGAACAAAGAGAATTTTTGGTGAATTTTATCAAGGGGAAAGATGTTATTGCCCTTCTTCCTACGGGATTTGGGAAAAGCTTAATATACCAGTTAGTCCCGTTAGCGGCGCATTACATAAATCACAACCAAATAGCAGTGATTAGTTAAATTTAAAAAAGTACCGCCTACTGTCAAGCGAATGAATCCTAACGCTGCGAGGTCAGACAGTTTCTACGAAGTGAAACTGGCTGATGAATCAGGCTAGTCACGATCTGCATGTAGATTGAAATGTTAATACATGTTTTGTATAATTTCTAATCTTTTTGTAAATATTTTATTGACTATTTTGTTCCATTATTGCTGGTTCAATTGAATGTTGAAAAGAAAAAGAAATGGGCTACATTTAATGTCCAAATAGGCAATTTAAGGATCCTTTTATTGCTGGTTCAATTACTGTTTTTCATTGTTTAAAACTTGAGTAATAGTAATTGTTCAGAGAGACACGATCACTCAGTCAACAATAAAATATCCTCATTAATGTTCAATAATGGTCAAATCCAACCTTTATTTTGTGATTTACGAATAATGTCCACGGGTTTGAGTCGCAAAATTTTGTGGGGTCTGTGAGGAAACTAAAGTGGGTTTGTAGAATATTTTCTCTCTGACCTCGGCTGCAGAGGTGACGGTGCGGGTGGTCACTCCCACTGTGTAGATGCCTCCGTTCGCGTCCTCGTGGATTTTTATGTTGGATTTTTGTTTACGAGTCTCCAGGTCTCGAGTCGTGTCAAACAAATCCAGAACCTCCTCATTGTAAAGCTGGAAATACAAGAAAATGCAATGTTAAAATGTAAATAAATCAAAATGTGTGAAAAATGTTCATTCATTTGTTCGATTTACAGCAGAACATGCTTTTGATTAGAAGAACTTGTACAGCTCAGGATTGTAAAGTCGCACACTGTATAATGTTTAGTTAGTCTAATGTTAAACCAATGGAGATTTTAAGATACTAAATACTAGGAATGGTACAAGATCTCGTGCCATAAGATCTCATGAGACAAAGTTACCACAACATTGTGCACACATGTGGAAAATGCTCTTGTGAAGATTTTTTTCCATGTGTTTACAAAAGGAGTTAAACACAGCTACATCTCTTATAGTTCCAAAAAGCAGCACTAGAATGGAAACAAACCTCAAATAAATAAACATTTGTGAGGCCAAAATTGGAAACTGAATCGCAACATTTATGTATTAGAAATTATTCTAAAATCTGGTCTTGTCTCATTCTCTCAGACCAAATCTCGTATCTCGTCTCGTCTTGTGTAAATTGTGTCTCGCCCCATCCATATTAAACACTAAACATAATGTTGAGTCAAAAGTTTTCTGATACTGTAGAGTAATTGATACAGGTTTATCAGGTTGATCCACTGCGCCTTTGTTTACGTACTTAATTACTACTACTGACACAAACATGGCAGAGCTGCAACTAACAATTATTTTAGTGTTGATTAAACCTACACTTCCCCATGATCCATCCAACGTCTTCCTCCACTCTACTGATTGTTTACTCACTGCCACCGGCGCCAGAAACCAAAGTATTGTTTGTGTGTACTCCAAATTAGACGTTCATTCACCGTTACATGATTTCACATTGTTTTTTTTCCCTCCCTTTATTTAACATTGCACTGCAGCCCACTTGAGTATACAAAAAATAGGCTAATGAAATGTAAGACCTTGACGAAAAAAATGAGATTTGGACAACATAATTTAAGACTGAAATTTAAGACATTTTTAAGATTTTTATGACCCCGCGGCTACCCTGATTTAAAACCAAATAAAACTCAAATGGAGCTTCTTTAAGTCTTCTACATAGAGAATACTTAAGAATAAAATGTATTATATCACAGATTTTACTTTTACTTTCTGGCTTTTAACACCGTGTGAGTTGTGTGGTCCTCTGCTGTCTATTTTATTAGTTTTATTTATTCTTACGGGTCTGTTTTACTCCATAGTTTTAATTGTTAAACCAAATTGTAGATTTTGTAAACAGTCTTTGTTTATGAAATGTGCTGTAGGAATAAAGTGGACTGAAATGGAGATTTTTTATTTGATCATTTTGATTTAAGAATGCATCTGTCTTCATTTTAAAAGGTGTTGTGTAGGAGTCTGTATAGTTCACATAATGCTTACAATTAATTTAATGGTCCGTTATTCAGATTATTGATTGCAGTTGTACCATTGTGGTATTTTTGTATTGACTAAAGTGACAGAATATTGATCTTCTATCGAGAGAAGATTAAAAAAAGTCCTTTTTGTGAGTTTTCTGGTCTTTCGCCCTCAGCTGTTCGGTGACAGCTGTGGCGGACACTTGTTGCTGTTAAAAATAAAGCGTGGGTGACAGAGGCAGACAGGATAATGACAGTTTAATGGGCCCGGGGTCGACTGTGAACATTAACGACCTCACAGCCCTACACCCCCGTGACCTTTGACCCCTCCTGTCCCCAACCGTTCCCTCGCACTGAAAAATGAACGCTGGAGCTTCAAGTTGAGCTAATAATGATGGATTATAAGGAGCAGTTTTGCCATTTGTGAAAGATAAATGGTATGCTGAGATAATTGAGTTCATTATAAATTAACTATCAAAATATACACAATTTGTTTTGTTCGTGAAAATACAAAAAACACAAAAATAGTAAATGGTCTTGTTTAAAGTCCAAACAATGTTGCAATGAGGAACTATTGAGGACTGAACCAGCTTGTGGCTTAATTCAATTGGAGGATTTGCCTGTGAAAGACACAAAGGGTCGATCAAGACTAAAACAGATTTAAACCGGGTCTCAACCAGGTCTAAACTAGGTCTGAACCTGGTCTAAATCTGGTCAAAACTAGAGCTTAATCAGTAAGTGTAGATGTGTAGAAAGCCAAAGATTGCTGTTATAAATATCCATTATCTATGAAAAGTTTGTACAAGTCACTGAATGTAAATAAAATTATTGTAACAGACCCACACAGGCAATCTCATGGCAGTAAAAGTAACTAAATTTGGAGCAGATTTCAAGCTTCGGAGGATCAAAATTTGCATATTTCTGTGTTAAATGGCACTAGAGTGGAATGAATTAATTTTTATAGACCTGTTTTTAAAGTCTATCTTCTTTATGCTCATAAAATGCTTAAAAAATATTGTGCATACCCCTTAAATTTTCATATCATTGATTCCATTCTACATTTGACTGAGATGATTTTATTGTGTTCACTGATCTACTCAAACTAAAAATAATAAATTAACATGAAACTGTATGTAAGAGTGTATTTTGTGAGCACCTCCAGAAACTGCGCGTTGATCTTGAACTCTGGCACAGGCCGTCCCTGCTCGGTGGCGCTCTGTCTCCGCTGCTCGATGCCTCGGAACAGGTGGTTCACAGCTCGAGGAATGATCCCCAGCTCCTCCTCACTGATATTCACATCAAACCCTGTGCCCATGGTGTACGTCTTCCCCGAACCCGTCTGCGGAGAGAGGAGAGATAAGGTTAATCGGGGTTCAGAGAGAGGAGAGGGGGGAGAGAAATCAGAACAACCTACTGTAGATTACACAGCTTTACGACATGTTATAATGCTGTTACCTCATCAAAAACATAAAACATACCTGGAGTTGTGTTTTGTTTTATTCACATGTATTTGAGTAATTCTGCCTTTTATCTTTAGTTCAGTGAAGATTGGCAATTCGAGGGAAGAAATGATCCAAATGATTCTAGTGAAGATGATTTAGTTTAAAAACACAGTGGAGCACTTCCTCAGTTACCCCATGACATGAAATGGTGGAAAAGAGTATTTTCAGTTTGAGAGAAGAAATCATGTGTGAGTGAAACAAAACAAAACTCCAGGTATATTTGTGATGAGGAAACAAGGCCATTTAATATGGATTATTTACATTTTCTCGTGGAAGATCTGCTAACTGCTTATTTCCATGACAATGTAATATTTTTGGTTGGAATGCGTCACAGTGTGGCATTAAACTTATCTGTCCTCATGGAGACAAAAAGAAATTTGAAGCTGCATAAACACCTCTAATTGATTAACGCAAGATTTGCAAGTTGAATGCCAAACTGTGGAACATTTTTAGCCTGATTCATCAACAGGTTTCACTTCGTGGAAACCGTCTGACCTCGCAGCTTTAGAATTAGTTCACTCTATGGAAGGCAGGTACTTTTTTATTTAACTAATCACTGCTATTTGGTCGTGACATTTGTAATGCTCTGCTAACGGGGCTAACTGGTATATTGAGCTTTTCCCAAATCCCGTAGGAAGAAGGGCAATAACGTCTTTCCCCTTGATAAAATTCACTAAACATTCTCTTTGTTCCGGCTTTAAATCCTCGATTCCACAAACCCTTGCCAACATAAAATGTATGTCTCTTCGCTGATTGGCTGGTGCCCGGACTCACACTTCCGGGGTTCTTGCAATCCGTTTAGTGTGTTTCGATTCCTGACATAGTCTCTGGAGAGAAATGAAATTGAGCGGAGCCACTAGATGGCGCCAGACTGGCTAGAACATTTTAGGCAAAGCAATAACATCTTCATAGAGACGGGCAGATGGCTGATCCTCTGACAGAAAGGTTATACAGACCACCTTTAAGGACTCCTTATTGTGTTTGCAGGTATGTGATTCTATTTTGTTGTATTGAAAATTAAATATTATCCTTATTCTCCTGGGTCATTATTGTGGTAAATATAAACCTGGTCTAAACCGGGACAAAATCAGGTCTAAACCGGGTCTAAACTGGGTCTAAACCAGGTCTAAGCCAGGTCTAAACCAGGTCTAAACTGAGTCTAAACCAGGTCAAAACCAGGTCTAAACCAGGGAATAATCAACAAACAAGTGCAGATATGTAGAAATTAACCTCTTTCTACACACCTACTAGTACATACACCTTATTATGTATTATTTCCATTATTTATGAATGGGCTCTGCAAGTCACTGAACTTAAATTAAATGACTGACTTTGTAACAGTACAGCAACTCCCATGGTAGTAGTGTGGAGCAGATTTCAAACTTTGCCAGATCACAATATGAAAAGAAATGAAAGCTGTGTGTTATTTGACTTGGTGATAATACTTTGGCTTACTCTAAGTGTCACCAGATCCACTGAACCACGTGCCCAGCGCAGAAGGTGAGTGCATTCTGAAGGGGTCAAGGCCTGAACTCATTCACGCTTCAGCACGTCTGATCACACACGAGCTTCTTCATTAGAAACTTTAGACAAACTGAAGTACAGTGGCACAGCTATGGAAAGGGGTTTAAGATAGCATAAAATTGATCTAGAATCCAAAAGGAGCAGAGGTTATGGCACGCAATCATACAGTTTTATTCATGCACCTAGTATATAAAAATAATACAAATTTTGATCCCAAATGTTACCTCATGGCACTCTTGGCACTCACATTTTGAGCTGTTGTGTCATTATGTTAATCAGCTGTGTTAAAACATCAGATTTTTGATTTGGATGTCCTTGGTGGAGTATTTGAAAAAGGAATAATTTAAATTTTTATTTATTTATTATATACAGTTTTCATTTTTTTGTACACTTGTTTTGTGAAAATGTATTACCACAAAAATATAACATACTAACATAGCATGGACATCCGTGTATCATTCGTTCATTTGTTTTTCTAAATTTTTTGTGTTTAAATGAATAATAGAAAAAAACAGATAATGGCCATTTCCCGTTTCAGTGACGTAAACTGCGATGCCAGACTTTTGCGCCACATACGGACTGAACCGGGATTAAACCAGGTGATCAGGACTGAGACTGGGACCAGACCAGGACCAGACCGGGACTGAGATCAGGACTGAGATTTGGACTGAAACCAGGACCGGACCGGGACTGAGATGGGGATTGAAACTGGGACCATACAGGGACCAGACCGGGACTGAGACAAGGACTGAGACCAGGACTGAGACCAGGACCAGATCAGGACTGAGACCAGGACCATATCAGGACTGAGACCAGGACCAGATCAGGACTGAGACCAGGACCAGATCAGGACTGAGACCAGGACCAGATCAGGAATGAGACCAGGACTGAGACCAGGACCAGATCAGGACTGAGACCGGTTTAGTCCTGGTTTAGTCCTGGTTTAGTCCTGGTTTAGTCCTGGTTCAGTCCTGGTTTAGTCCTGGTTTAGTCCGTATGCAGCGCAAAAGTCCGGCATTGTACTTTAAGTCACAAAAACAAGAAACATCGTTATCTGTTTTTTCCATTATTCATTTAAACAGAAAATCGAAAAGTGAAAATACGAATCTTTATCCATTTTTGCATTTTGGTTTTGGAGACAAATAACGAAGAAAATAGTCTTATTTTTGGTTTTATTTTGAAAAACGAATGAACAAATGACACACAGATTCATGGAGCTCCTTTACCTCTCTGTTTTCAATAACAAACCCAAGTCAAAGCAGGTTTAGGATTTCATTTTTCAAGGCTAATTTGGTGCCACTTTTCTGGATTTGTACAGAAGCATTTACACTTGTACTACATGTGTTACAGTGCTTAGTCCAGTCTCTGTGGACCAGACCCCCCCTCCCCCCTCTCCTCTTTCTCCACCTTCTCGTCTCTCTCCTCTCCCCCCCTCTCTGGGTCAGGTCCGTGTGGTCACCATGGCAGTAAACAGAGGAATGCGAGAGTGGGTTCAAATTCGCCCGTGCCCCCGCGCTCCTGCTGGACGTCCTGAAAGAGGCGTGTGTGAAAGGGTATTTAGCACAATGTGGGGCTGAAAATCTACACACACTCAAGTCATTGGAACCTGCCGCCTTTATGGGGACAAAAATCAGGTAACCATGTCATAAATACTCATAAGATCAGCGATTGTACAATTTTTTTTCATGTAATAAAGTAAGATTTGTCTTGTTCCAGTACAGATATATTGTAAAATCAGCTCCTGGAGTCAAAATACAAGACATTTTTGTTTACATCCTGCTTTTCCGCACGTGCACAGTGAATGGTACACAAAAAGTCAGTGGGGCCGCTTGTTTGTGTTGACAGGTGATTTGTGTTTGTTTGTCGTGAGATAATTAGTTTTATTTTGAAGGTTTTGCATTTAATTGTTCTGACATGACTTCATCGTCTTACGCTAAGTCACTGAATGTTGAGGATCAAAAACTTTACTTTGAAAAGTTAAAACTCCGATAACTGTTGACGATGTTGATGTTGACTTGTTGATACGGACGCTTTTTGCCTACCAAAATGGCTGCTGCCCTGGACGTGACGTCATCATGTTTTCTCGTATAAACCTCTGTGTATTTTCAGCCTCTAATTATAGAGCAATTTATTATCCACGAAACAGGAAGTAAGACACACTATCAGCATGCTAGTTGTTGTTACTATTACAGTAGTCTCTGTAAGTTGTAAAAAACTTATAAACTTCTTGTGGTGATTAATTATCAAGCTAGGAATATGTTAGAAATGTGAGGAATAAGTTTGGACTGCTGTACATTGTTTAAAATTTGTAGTTTATTTTTTTCCATTTTATTTTAAAGCAAATCTCAATTAACCCACAGCCTCATTTTGATACAAGATAAAATGTCTTATGGTTTGGGCAAATCGGAACTGTGGTGAATTCCTTGTTATCTTGGCCAAAGTGATCAGAAGTATAATACTCCCTACAATGGAAGTATAGTAAGACTGGACAACACTAGACTGCACTTTATTACGACAACAGTTCAAGTTAGAATCAGTTTCCAGGAAATGTATGCAGGTCGGTGTAATGTCTCTAAACAGCATGGAGACCCAGTGTGTGTGTGTGTGTGTGCGTGTGTGTGTGTGTGCGTGTGTGTGTGTGTGTGTGTGTGTGTGTGTGTGTGTGTGTGTGTGCTCTGAACCTGCACCTGTGACTTGAAGGTGTGTGTTCAGGCGTAAATCAGAGTGAGGAGCACCGCTGTGTTCACTGAAAGCTGCTTCAGATGTGAGAACAAATGTTAAGGAACAAATGTTAAGGAACAATGAAAGGACGAATAATGGAGGGAAAGAGAGAGAGCGAGAGAGAGAGGAGCAGTGGGGAGCATGGAAAAGGAGGGTAAGAAGGCTACTGTTTAAATATTTGACACCCCCAGCATGATGTCACTGTAAAGTACCAACAGGCTACTGTTTGATCCTACACATGTACTAACTCAAGTGTAGTTACTTAAAGGACAACTGTTGTGCAAGACATTTGGATCAGTTCTGTTTTGTGTTCATTGGTCACTTTCTGAAGGTGGTACCACACGTCACCTCCATAATTCCACAGAAATAGAAAGCTAAATCCACGGTTCAGAACACTCTCTGTATTAGTTTGAAGTTTTATGCCAGTCCAAGGAACATTTTCGCCAAAACAACAACATTTCCATGGCGACAAGCCGAGGCTCTCCTCCAGGACAAATAAAGGTCATGTTTGTGGAGATGCAAACCCCCCACAGTAAGCACACAGAATAGTACTGTTTTTCACTGCAATAAAAAAAAACAAAAAAACATCCAGTATGGAAAATAGCATTGGTTTATTTTGGTCTGTTATTGGTTAGAAAGTTACACAGTGAGGCTTTAAGGAAATTATTCCAATTACCAGCCTCTGTTTTGGTATTTTTTTCATGTCAGGAAGCCAACATTTGTATCAGAAGTGAAAAAGCTGGATTGGTGCAAAGTTAATATGCTTTATACTACTGTTTTATGATTCTTATTTCTTAAAGGGTCCATTTATGCTATTTTCTGACCTATGATATAATGTTGTTTCCTCATCAAAAACAGACCTGGAGTTGTGTTTTGTTTCATTCACACATGTTAACACACAAACTCTGCATATTTAGGCCGAGTTCTTCTCGCATGTGGTAGTACCGTATTTTTTGGACTATAAGGCGCACTTAAAATTCTTTAATTTTCTCTTAATTTTAATTGACAGTACACCTTATAATCCGGTGCACCTTATGTATTAATTCTGGTTGTGTTTCCTGACCTCAAACCAATTTTATGTTGTATAAGACACTCAAAAATCTGTCAAAAATGTTTCAGTACAACTTTGGTAAGCTACAAAGCCACACTGCTTGATGGATTGTCGGAGAATTACAGCTACCATAGTCGTGTCCTTCAGTCCGACAGAAGCTGACAGCATCAGCGCACAAGGAGCGAGCTGTTTTTTGGGCATTAATAGTTTATGCAAATTAGCCATGTGGTTTTAAGTTTAGTTTCTGTAAAACGTAAACAAATCTGCGCAAAGTTGCACTAAACACATTATTACTCAATGTGTATTTCAGTTGTCCTTGTAGGAAATAAAAAAACAAAACCTATTTTATTCACCCACATTCACATTCATAACACACATTCACCAAGACAGGAAGGAAACGCCGGGCGATTTACGCCACAATCTGCCAATGGATTGTGGACGCCTGGGCTAAGCATCAGTCTTAAGTGTCGTCCGTTTGTTTCGCTTAATGCGCCTTATAATCCAGTGAGCCGTATGTATGAAAATAGACGGGGAGAATTCAACATTACATTGATATTGCGCCTTATAATCCGTTGCGCCTTATAGTCCGAAAAATGGGGTAAGTGTTTTAAAACTCCATACATCTTCACTAGAATCATTTGGATAATTTCAGTCCTGGATTCGCCAGATTCTACTGAACTAAAGGTAAAAGGTAACTGTTAACTTGAAAATTACTTCATGGCATCACAAGGTGGAACAGAGCATTTTGAGCTTTGTAGATATAGACAGACTAACAATAAAGAGTTACTCAGACATGTGTGAATGAAACAAAACACAACTCCAGGTATGTTTTTGAGGAGGTAACAACATTATAACATGACTTAAAGCTCACAAGGGTAAATTTTGTGCAATAATGGACTCTTTAATTCATTATTTATTCACTTCACATGTGGGTATTCTAAGCTACAGGACTTTGTTTGCCACAGTTGCGTGAAGTGTCTTGCTCAAGGACACAACAACAATATATCCAGACCTGCTGTGATTACACAACAAAGACTTTTAACTGTTTTCGCCTTCGTTTACATTAGCTCAGATACATTTCTACAACCACAAAGTAAAGCTTCAGAAGCACTTTATGTAATCACTCATCATCATACCATCATTTTGTAATTAGTTCCCTGACGGTTTAATGCGGTTTTTCTTTTCACTGTTTGGGAAATCCTTCATCACGTTTTATACGCTTGGAGCCAGAACATTTTGGCCTGGTGATTCTGTGTGTTTGGTATGAGGTGAAGCAATACATTCGCTCAGTAAGCTCCCAGTGTCTCTCTGAGGAAAGCCTATCAGAGAATATTAAATGGAGTAGAGTGCAGGCCTGGGCACGTTAGCTGACAGGTCAAGTCAACACTGTTTTATCATTGATCTAATGGGAGTATCTGAATAACATAACTGCCTCTTATCAGAAATCTACCCAGACAGCGGTTAGATTAACAGTAAGTAAATCTGCAATCGTCCTGATATGGAAGTAGGTCAAGATAAATATTTGGAAAACATGCTGTACTTATCAGCTGAGAATTTACCACGCACTAATGAAAATAAAAGTGGATTTTTGGCACTTGCTACTGTCTAATATGGAACATGGAAACAGTCTTCTTGAACATGTGAAACAGGCCTCTACTTTGACCAATAGTTTCATTTTTCGTATGACTCAAAGGTTTTCATTCGGCACAAGGGATGTAACAATAACGGAAATATCGTGATATCATATTGTCAAAAGTCTCACAATGATATCGTGGACCATCCCAATATATCAAATCACAAGTTCCTTTGCTTAAATGCATTGTTTTATGGTAGCAACAGCTTATAAACATTGGAAACTACAAGTCCCATGATTAATTTCAGTGCAGACAACATGAAGAAATATGATTTTGACTTGAATTCTTAGGATTATGATGGAAATAATTGACACCAAAATCTTGTCATGGTATTTTAATAGCAAAAAAAATGTCCCATCTACAATTATATTAGCCCCTTCAAAATCGCAGTAAATATCGTGATAATACCGTACTGTGAGACAGTGGCGGAGTCAGCAATTTCGGGGCCCTAAATGAACTTGAGTTTGGGGCACTCACTATAATGCACCATTTTTTTTTGTTTTGTTTTTATAATATCTTTGTCTGTTTTTCCCCATTTTCCCTGTTCTTGAGACATGCACATCTTCATTTATTTGAATTACGGTGGATCGGAAACTTGTCTTAGCCTCAGAACTGAAAGTAGTTTTCCTTTTTTTGATAGTACAATTACATTTTTGTTTTCATCCATTACATATGATTATTATTATTTTTCTTATGATTATTGTTTCATTTATTGAGAGAAAACCAAGTTGCTCTGAAGCCTCGACCATTAGTGGCACTGAGGGCAATTGGTTGGGGACCCCTCCAGATTTGAGGATCCTAGGCAGCTGCTTACTTTTGCCTAATAGTAACACCACCACCGTGAGATTTGGATATCATTACATCCCTATTCTGCAATCTTCTCTCTCATTTAATGTCTTTTTCAATACACATATAATAAACTTGCCTTGCCTAATATTCCATAGACAATGTTAATAATAAAGGTGCACTTTGTAACATTATTTTAGTGGAAGGTCTGCCACCTGCTTGTTTCTATGGAGAGGTTTTTGCTTTGCTTTGTTTTTAGGCTTGCTTTGACTAGGATCTGTCCATGGGGATAGATCCTAGACAAAGTAAGCCTAATATACCAGTTAGCCCTGTTAGTGGTGCATTACATATGTCACGACCAAATAGCAGCTATTGGTTAAATAAAAAAAGTACCTGCCTACTGTTAAGCGAACAAATCCTAATGCTGAGAGGTCAGACAGTTTCCACAAAGTGAAACCGGTGGATGAATCAGGCTACTAATTTGTGGCACTACAGCTAGATTTTTTTTAGAATCAACAAAGTGTTCATCTCAGACCTGTCCATAGGCGAAGATGGTGGCGTTGTAGCCCTCGAAGCAGCCCTCGATGAGCCTCTCAGTGCAGTTTGTGTAGATGGGGTCCTGATGCGTGTCCATATCAAACACATGATCGTAGGTGAAGGCCTTGTCTTTACCCAGAAACACCTGGGGCTCTCCGGGCATCACGTACGTGCAGATATGACAGCCCTCGATCTTCTCTTTGGCCAACTGAGGGCGGATCCTGCAAAACAACAATAAAAATACGTAAATTAAGATCCAGATATTTTAGTTGATGGGGTATTAAAGGTGCACTATGTAATTTTTTTTGGTTGTGGGTCCGTCACTTGCTTTTTTCTATGAGTATGTCATTGCTCTGCCTGGAATGTTCCACACTATGACATTAAACAGCTCTAGCTTACATTTATTCAATTACAGGTGGTTTTACTGCTCAAAATACCTACAAAAACAGACATTATGACTGTGAGCAGGGTCGCCTCTCCACAGATCTGACCTGTAACATGAAGCCATACTGTGAAAAATTCCAGACAAAGCAATAGCAGAAAATGTACACAATGCACCTTTAACTGCGAACACATAACATATTTAGATCAACGTGTTACCTCTTACTGTTTTGAAAATATATTTGTCAAAAACAACGTATTAACATGTTTTATAAGTTTGACTTTCGCTTTTGATGCTCTGAGTGCCCCCTCAGTCCTGGTTTTGTCCTGGTTTAGACCTGTTTTAGTCATGTTTTAGTTCTGGTTCAGTCCTGGTCCCCTCATGTCACAGGTCACTCTAGGACAGTACTGAAGAGTCTATGCAGGTTATTTTCACTATTGTCAATAGCTCCGGTTTGACATTTAAGTTGTAGCTATTTTATATTTTTGGTTTGTTTATATCTCACGTCGGGAGAAGTGTGTGGACGGCGAACCCCCACATACCACGCCCACTACACCCCTGTACATGACATCACAAAATATTTTCAGTACAAGAGAAGAACTCAGCCTAAATACGCAGTGTTTGTGCGTTAAACATGTGTGAATGAAAGAAAACACAACTCCAGGTATGTTTTTGATGAGAAAACAACATTATAAAAGAAAATTGTGATATGAGCTATTTAAACACCTTTATTAAATGTTATAAATATTAATGTTAAAACCATCAGAAAAATGTATCCCTTGGAGATTTTAGTTGAGTTTTCAAGGAGGAATCTCCCATCTCTGGTTCCTATTTTCAATAACGCAAGCTTAAAGTAGAGGAAATCCACTTGAGTAGACTAAAGAGCAGTGAATATTTTGGTCATAGCCGGCAGAGTTGAGTTTGTGTGAAGTTGTGTTTATACTGGACCATGCAGTGCCAGCAGTCTCCCTCGGGGGCAGCACCTTTCTCACAGAGCACTCACTGTTCACACACACAGGGCTAAACAGTCCCGCCCTGTATTTCATTAGCATCAGTCTGTTTGCTCAGATATGTCAAACTAACAAAAACACAGCCACTTCCTCCCATGATGCTTTGCTGCCTCGTCACAGGGATCACTGTCTACCTGAAGAGGAAGTATGGAATGTTAAACCCAGACTATGGCAACATCAGATGAATTTTAATGTGAAAAACTACGCTAAATGCTATGTAAAATATATGGAAATAGTGAATGAACATGCACACTGATGAATAAGAGATCAAATGGTCAAAAGTATTAACAATTAGTGATAAATCGATATATCGACTCGATATTTGAACTTTTTAGATAATCAGCGATCAGTCGTAAATCTCCAGCACAAGCCGTTATTTGGGTTAATTTTAATGTGAAGCACTCTCATCTTGAGTGTTGTAAAAGGCTCTATAAATAAAGTTTGATTGACATAATTTGGTGAAAATGACAAATATCAATATCAGACGAAATATATCAGCAGAGCTCTTCAACCATAGGCTTCTTGAATCTGAAACAATCGACATCGGTCATGGAAAAAAAAAAAAAAAAATATCGGTTGATATCTTGATAATGAACTTTCCTGTTTCCTATCCTAATTTATTTGGTCGAGACAGTGGACAGTTTCCATTGTTGTCCCACATTTGTGCTTATAATTTAGACACTAGAAGGGTGTAACGATATCCAAGTCTCACGGTATGAACCTCACGATACAATATTTATTGCGATATTGTGGGAAAGCTCACGATATGGTGGGGAGGCTCATGATAAAACAAATCTCTCAGTACAATATTTTCACGATATACATCTCACGGTATGATATTGATTGCGATATTTTGTGGAGACTAACAAAACTGTGAAGTTGCAATTTTTCATCTTAAAATGCCTTGACAAGACTTAACTCAAAGAACTAAGACTTAAAACTGTTTTTTCCTATTATCTATTACAGTCTACACTGAAATGGAGCAAATATGGAGTCTATGTAGTTCTCAATGTCTCGATCTCGATGATTTTTTTCTATTGCTGTCTATTGCTGCACCATAACTCTTAACTTAAGCAAAGAGACTTGTAATTTGATATATTGTGATGGTCCACGATATTATTGTGAGAACTTTGACGGTACGATGTCATGATATTTTGGTTCTCGTGATATTTTTGAGTTCACAAACACCAGAATCCATCTTAGAGTGTGATAGATCGACCAATCAGAAAGCAGCACTCAGGTTCGTGTCGAGGCCAAGGGTGAAGCGCTCAAACGAACCAAAACAAACACACTTCAGCCTATTTTAGTGTCAATATGGACTATTTTGTTTATGAAAAATGTGCAGAAGGTAAATGCTTTATGGATTTGTGGACAGCTCCGTGTTTTCCGATCACTTTCAGTGAGAGCCACAGATTGGCAATGTATAGAAATTAATTCAGAATGACACATATCAATCTAGTTATGGATTTAGCTTTCTCCTAAAGGCAAGAAAACCATCATATGAAGTTTCTGGCTTATGGCTCAGTAATGCCCAGCTCTAATTATGGCTTGGACTCTAAGATAAGTCAATACACCTGGAGTCTCTCAAGTACACTGTTACAAATGTGCTATTATGGGTCTCTGCTTTAGGCATAAGCAGTGGGAGCTGTGAGAGAGGGACCTCTGAATCAACTTCCTCTTCACCAACGCTCTTCTTTCAACTCTGTGTAGTGTTAACAGAGAAGTCTTATCCCATTTAACACTACAAAAGTCTGGAGTTAGAAGGAAGGAGGAGGGAGACATGAGAACAGTGAACACAAGTCTACAAAGTGTACAGAGGTGTTATTGTGAGTGTGAAACTGGATCCAGGTGATTTAATAGACTCATTTTGGGGAAGCTGAGACAGGACCATCACACCTGGAGCAGTTTGGATTTCTGTCAGTGTTAAGAGGGGACACTACAGATGGACTAATACACACACTCATTTAAAAAGTTATTACAAAACTTTTTTTTTTTAACCAGTATTTGCCTTAGTCAGATTTAAAGGGACAGTCCGAAATTTTGGACATTGGCTCACCAGGAAATGAGGTCCTGAGTGTTGGAGACGTGTGGAGACATTTTTTAAAATATTCCATCCAGTCCTTGTATTTGCAAAGGTCACTGGTGCTAGGCTAGTGCATGTCAATGGTCATAGTTATCCTGCCACAAAAAACAGTCTTACCCACTCCACAAAACACCCGAAGCAAATCTATTATTACACCAGTCAATGTGAATGTCTGTTGATAGAATAATTTTAGAAGTAAAACCAACGTTGCATTTGAAGGATTTATGTCTGAGCAGCAGCAGCAGTGAGTTGTACTTCCTGATAGAAAACTTGGCAGCGGCGGACTGATATATGAGAAAATAGTTCCTCAACATCCCACGATTCAAGCGATGCAAGGTTAGTTTTATTTTAAATATTATTCTATCGACACAGACATTTACATCGACAGTCTGGCGTTATAATAGATTTTCTTCGGGTGTTTTGTGGAGTGGCTAAGACTGTTTTTAGTGGCAGGATAACTATGGCCATTGAGATGGACCAGTCTAGCACCAGTGACCTCTGCAAATACAAGGATTGGATGGAATATTTTAAAAAGTGTCTCCACACGTCTCCAACACTCTGGCTCACTAGGAAATGAGGCCCTTTGTCCAAAATTCCAGACTGTCCCTTTAAAGGGTTGATATTATGCTATATAGGGGTGGGCGATATATCGATATTTTAAATATATCTCGATATGAATTCTGACATATCGTATATATCGATATAATGCTTATATTCAATTCTGATTTCGCCGCTTCGCTTGTTTACCTTCTCTCTCGTCGCCCGCGCGCCCTCGCCTCCCTGATTTTGTTCGCTCGTGTCTCCTTCACTCGTCACTATCGCCGTGAACGCTGAAAGTTGGTGCCAGTGAAAAGCTTCTAGCGCCACGAACCTTTTCCACCATTTACAGACAAAACGACCAGCAGCACATCCTCATATTCCACCGAGTCGCGTCCTTTAGCCCGAAAGAAGCTAAACGAGCTGAGCTGCATGAGAAGTGCGCTGTTTATGCAAATGAGCCATGCGCTTAAGTTTCGTTTCTGTAAAATGTAAACACGTGCGCAAAACTGCATTAAACACATTATTATCGTAAATGGGCTTTTGTGGCTCTATAGTCATTATACTTTATATATTGTAAAGTTTAGCAGTGTAAAGTTTATTTATGCAGAAGATTTTAATTAATAATCTGCTGCAGTGTAACTTGTACAATAGTGTTTGGAAACGTTTGATTTGATCTGCAGTGGATTGTAGGGATTAAACCTCAGAGCTCCTCACTGCTGGATAGAAACATGGATCTATTGAAATAAGGAACATCCTGAGCTTCTTCTGCTAAATGAGCTCATGGTTATGGTTCTGGTCTGGATAACAGAGTTAATGCAAAGATGAGCTTGTGTTGAGTTGTTTTATTTATGAATGAAAAGGAGGAAATATATATTATTTTTTATTTTCCAGTTAAATTATTATTTATGTAATTAGGGTTTTTTTGTAATCTTAAATGTTCCTATATGAACTGCCGACCTCTTACACTTCAATAAAAAAAAAAAGACCTTGTGGAATTTGGCAGATTTGTTTTTGCAGTTTTCAGTTTTAGGGGGTTATTTTTTCTTGAACATATATCGAGATATAGCAAAATATATATCGAGATATATTTTTTGATCCATATCGCCCAGCCCTAATGCTATATATATGTTACAATGTTGTTTCCTGATCACAAACAAACCTGGAGTTGTGTTTGTTTCATTCACATATGTTTAACATAAATCCTGT